AGCATAATTACAGTTCTGTGTACTGCTAAAATTCTAGGCTTCTGGAAGATATAATTAAAAAGAAGGCTGGATAGAAATTACACAGTATCTGATCTGCATTCTCAATATCCATACTCCATTCATTGTAAATGACCTCTGGACAGTTAAGTCCAGTCAAAGGCGGTTATGGGGTGCAGCACTCATCTTCGCTTTTCAGGCAGAGGGAACTGGCGTTTGTCTGCAGGCAGCTTTCCGGGTCATGTGACCAGCATGACTAAACCGCTTCTGGCGCAACAGAACACCATTAGTTAAAATGGACAAGGTTCTTCACAAGTTGTTAAGCGCAACAGTGTGCTTTGCAAATATGCCAAGTGATTTGCTTAACTTAAATATTTTGAGTTCCCTGTGTTACAGCTCTCAGGACAGTAACAAAATCAGAATGGAATCAATTTTTCTAATGATGTCTTTGTGTCCCACAAAATATTATATTACCTAGTCTGCCTCCTCCACCATCTATAACCCTGAAATGTAAGCTTTGAGTTTTACCTATATGCTGGGATGAACGTAATCTAGCTCACAACTTCAGCATTTTATGGAGATCAATAGGCCTCTGCTGCACAGGGACGTAATTCCTATTGATCACTTTGCCAGGTGCAAAGGATGGAAGTTACAAGCAGCTGGAGAAATATTACTGGACTGGAGCGCACATTATAGTTGCCACAAGGATGCTCTCCATACTGAGCAATGCCTGCCATGGCTAGAACAATAGAACGAGTTCCTGAATGGATAGCTTACCAACACTGTGAGTTTCTACATGAAACAACGCAAAGATGTGGATTCTCAGAGGAAATTAACAGGTACGCCTTTTCCTTCAAAATTATAGGAAGGGCTCCGTATCCCAGCTTCAACATCTCCTTCATTTGGTTCAGGGATTTTATTTCCCATGTAAACAGACTCCATTTCTGCACGTACATCCAAATCCCCACACACCACTTTTAATAGTTCTTTGAGATATGGAGGGGGGGGGAAAGGAAAACTGGAACAAAATTGGAAACTGGGATGGCTTCTGTAATTCCGGGACTGTGCCTGGAAAATTGGGACACTTGGAGGGCATGAAATTGGAATTCAAGAGATTGAGCCAAATGTGTGGGTTGGTTTGAATTAGGCAATCAAAGCCCAGTATCCTTACAAAGAATGCCTCCTGGTGGAGCTGAAAAGCGATAAAACTGGTTTTGTTGGCTGTATTTTGAAATGTTGTAATTATCACCAGGAAGCCCTTCCCCGTCTGCCAATGATACTTTTACTGTAAATGTCACTACAACAGCTCCAGCTAGTGCAGAAGAAGACATTAACTCGTTTGGCTCAATAAACTCTGCTGAAACTAGATTTGGATGCAGACCTAGAGATATCCTTCTATCTCACTTCACAGCCATTTACTTCACCACCCTCCCTGTGCTCCTGTGTAAGATTGAAAGTAGTGCCACACAGTGTTTTTCTCTGTCCAATTCTTAAGTTTATTTGGTTCTTCCAAGTGCCTTGTGGATTTAATGTTAATGTTGCAATCTATGCGGGTGGCGCTGTGGGTTAAACCACAGAGCCTAGGACTTGCCGATCAGAAGGCTGGCGGTTCAAATCCCCATGACCGGGTGAACTCCGTTGCTCGGTCCCTGCTCCTGCCAACCTAGCAGTTCAAAAGCACGTCAAAGTGCAAGTAGATAAATAGGTACCGCTCCGGCGGGAAGGTAAACGGCGTTCCCGTGTGCTGCTCTGGTTCGCCAGAAGCGGCTTAGTCATGCTGGCCACATGACGCGGAAGCTGTACGCCGGCTCCCTCGGCCAATAAAGTGAGATGAGCGCCGCAACCCCAGAGTCGGTCACGACTGGACCTAATGGTCAGGGGTCCCTTTACCTTTACGCATGCTTACTTGAGAGTAACCTTTTGAAGTCTGTGGGATTTTTTTTAAAAAAATATTTTAGTGACATTTTCTTGGTTTACAAAGGTATGCGCAATGTCTCTTTTTTCAAGTTACATTTTCCATAGGTCAGTTTCATTTGTTGAGACATTAGGAAGAAAAAAAGGGAAAAGAGGTGGAGAGGGCCATGGTGGGGGTGGGGTGGGGTGGGGCCGGGAGGCAATATTTCTATTTTGCTTAATGTATGTGTGGGTTTTTGTGTCAGCATCATTTGTGCAGTTTCTCTTTGCTATTCGCTTGTGTTCCTTTGGTGATGAGAGAAATTGTGGTTGGCCTAGGGTACGGTTGCTTGTTTGTGATTGGCTGTGTTGAACTTTCTTTTTGTGTGTGAGTGGGGTGGGTGGGTATTTTTGAATCAGGTTAGCCATATTGATTCATATGCTGTTGGTGGATACTTGCCGTTGTCTTGTTGGGCTTTGTACACAGCACACAGTGTTGAAGGAAACCCAAAGAGACAGGAAAAAAGGGGTGGAAATTCTTCCAGCATCCCTGAAACAGGACTTTCTCCTGTTTTACCTCAGGAGACAGTGAAAGAAATCAGAAGGTACTGGTGAAACTGGCATGGCTTTCCCCTCCTTTCGCCAGAGAGAAGAGATTGGGGGGGGGGGATTGTGATCAGCCTAAGTGACAACAAGAAGGCAGCTTTTTATTGTGGTTTTTTTGCTCCTGATGATATCAAGATATTTATAAACAATCTCGCTTTCAGTTCTGCTTGCATCTGCAATGGTTTGGGTGCAGGCATACTGCTCCATTTCTTATTGGTACATAGTTATCATGCTCACCATCATTACAGTATTATTGTTGTTGTTGTTCTTATCATCATCATCATCATCATCATCATCATCATTATTAATTAAATCTGTTTAATGCTCTTCATCCGAAGATCACAGAGCAGTTCACAATATAAAAACACAAAAATGATAACTAACAAAAACAATAATGCCTCCCCTTTAAAAGGCCATATATTGTTTAATTAGCCAAAGTCCCGGGAGAATAAGAAAGATTTTGCCTGGCGCCTAAAGATATGAAGGCGCCAGGAGAGCCTCCCTCGGGAGAGAATACCACAAACAGGGAGCCACTGCAGAAAAGGCCTGTTCTCGTGTTGCCACTCTCTGGACCTCTCATGGTGAAGGCACACAAAAAAGAGCCTCAGGTGGTCTGGGTTGGTGATTTGCTTTAAGCCACTCTGTCCTTTCTGTTCAGTGGGAGGTTTGAAGCAATAACTGCCACCAGCCATAATAAGATGAGCAGATAAGCAGCACATTGAGAATTACTAAAGATTTTCCAAGCACTCTCTTCTCCAAGCAGTCTGTTCTCCTGTCATCTCAGCTGACAGCTACTCATTATGAGGTAAAACTAATAACATTGATGTGGGTGAGAGGATGTTGAAGGGCAGGAGAGGGCTTAGCTTTTCCCTTGTCCCACCATAGTACCGCCCCATGCCCGTTCTCTGGCCGTTTCCCCTCAGCTCACATCATCCTAATCAGCCAGCCAGACGGACTCGGGGGTACACCAGATCAATGTCCAATGAGGTAACAGACTCAAAAACTGGATGAAAATTTCAAGTCTTCACCAAGGCTAATTATTCAGGCTGGTCCTACGTGGGCCAGAAAAAAGCCAGGGAATACTAGCAGGCAGGAGAAGAAGGATAAACCACCATCCTTTGATTTTTTTCTAGCAAATGCCCACCTTCCTCCACCCAGTGCTAATATTAACTTGGCTAAAAACATGCAGTCTGCCAAGACATACTTTCAGAGAGACACTTTCTCACTCTCCTGTTTGAGACCCATAGAAATGCAGTTTTGCAACAGAGAAACGCACCTGATTCGCAGGAAATCTTATAACCTCCATTGCCACCAAATCAGAATGAATGCTCAATAAATAGGGCTCATTAACCTCTGGACAAACTTTGTGCAAGCAAATAGCTAAAGGAACAGGTCAGCAAATGGAGGAAAGAGGCAATATCAGGACTTTGCTCCCCGATCCTGAGCAGAGGTAAATAGGACTTGGAAATAGAAGTATTTGCAGCTGTTCCAATGACTCCAAATGAGTGTTTGAGGGGTTAAAGGGAAGAATGCTTAGTGAAATGGGTTGTCTCTGCTGCCCTTGCTCTGTAAATACTTAAGAAGCATGTAGTGCCACACACATTTTTTTTGTTGCTGTTAAAAAAGATTCTGAACTTTATGAATGGATTTATGAAATTGTTCTGTTTTTTTCTTTCTTGGAGGGTTTTAAGGTATTGTGAGGTGGAGGGGAAGGAGTTGAGGTGGCAAGGCAAGTAGCTGATCCTAAGCCAAATGTGCTTAAGGATGTCTAGTTGATTTCAAATGACTTTTAGCAGTAAATGAGTGCAGGATCAGGGCCTCTTCATTATTTGGTTAAAAGGCAGCTGTAAAACTGGGTGCTTATTCTTAGCAGGACTCATACTTTCCAACATTTCTCTGATGAAAATAGGAATGTCCTATTGAATAATAATAATAATAATAATAATAATAATAATAATAATAATAATAATATATCCCACCCATCTGTTTGGGTTGCCCCAGCCACTCTGAGTGGCTTCCAACATATATACAGACATAATAAAACATAAAACATTACAAAACTTCCCTATACAGGGCTGCCTTCAGATGTCTTCTAAAGGCTGCATAGTTACTTATCTCCTTGGCTGCGGGGTCACATAACTCCATACCCTCCAACATTTCCACGATGAAAATGGGGATGTCCTAAGGAAAAGTGAGACATTTTGGGATCAAATCAGAAACTGGAAGGGTTTCTGTAAAACCCTGGAAAATAGGGAGACTTGGAGGGGCTGCAGGAGGGACTAAAGTTCAGTTACTTGGAAGTGGATCCCACACGCTTCGATGTGTCCCTTGGGGTTCACTCCCAGATGTATCTATGAAAGGAGCCCAGCAGCTTGACTTTATGTATTCTTCCTTGATCTGAAAAAGTCTCATTGAGTCCAGCTGGGCTTTCACCCACCCACCCACCCAATTCTTCCCCAGAGCTGCTTCAAGGACGAGTTTGCTTTCGCCTTAACTTTGCTTGGCTCCACCCACGTCTGAGAGATGCGATACAGCTTGTCAGAAAGCAGGAAGAGGCTCCTGCAAGATAAGAGCGCTTTTCTTCACTGCAGCCTCCAGCAGTGAGTCGGAACGACTTGCTTGCCAGAGAAATGCCCACCCTTTAAAAAGAAAAAAGGAAAAATCCTGTTTGGGTAAAAGGGGGAAGCCTAGCAGCTGCGTTTATGCCACACGAGCAGCGTGTTCCTTAAGGTAAGAAACAGGTGTCTTATGAATTCCTTTCTTAAGAGGGTGTGTGCGTGTGCATCTTGGGGGTCTATGCTGTGTTTAAGACACTGTGTTCAGTGTGAAGCCTATAAGAGGGGACTTTGTGGCTGGCTGTGTGCTGGATGGTTTTGCCAAACCTGTGCCTTCTCTCACCCTTGTCTTCTTTTTCTAAAAAAATCCCAATATATATTGCAGAGATTGGTTATGTTAATTAAGGAAAAGTTGAAGGAGCTCTTAAATATAAAAGTTCTTACTTGATCGGATTCTGTATCTATAAACTTTGTTGCCTTTGTTTCAGTGCCGTTTGTGCTAATGTAACCAAATATTCAAAGTTGTGGGTGGGTATATTTGATGTTATGAGTTTGTGGGAGGGGCAGACTCTCCACAGACTCTCCCAGTGTCCCTATTTTCCAGGGACAATCCTAGATTTACAGAAGCCATCCTAGTTTCTGATTTGATCCCAGAATGTCCCTCTTTTCTGTAGGGCGTCCCTATTTTCAGCAGATGTTGGAGGGTATGGAGTTAGGAGATAAGTAACCGTACAACCTTTAGAAGACATCTGAAGGCAGCCCTATACAAGGAAGTTTTAAAAAATGTTGAGTTATGTTTTTATATATGTTGGAAGCCACCTGGAATGACTGGGGTAACCCAGTCAGATGGGCGGCGTATAAATAATATTATCGTTATCATTATTGAATAGGATGTCCCCATTTTCATGGAAGTAATGTTAGAGAGTTTGTCTCCATAATCTCTAGGGTCAGTAAAGAGCTAGAATTTGAGCCAGCTCGCAAATTCACGAAGTACACAAAGTTTAGTTAATTAAAACTAAGCCAAGCACTGTTTTGTTCAGTTTAGGATCACAAGTCCAGACATCTGCGTACAACTAGTAAGGGATAAGTCAAGTCTTTAATGTGACAAAAGGTGTTGATGGCCCGTGTTGAGGGGGAATCTTTGGGCCTGGGCAGACAGAGGTTGCCAAGGTGATGGGGTGTGCATGCTAGGTGACAGGAAAAGGGTGGGCTTGGGTCTTAGCAAGGTGTGCTGGGAACAAGAAGGGAGAACAAAGACAGTTTCTGACTGTAGAGGCTGCAACCCAGAGACTGGGGAGCATAGCTGGCTGCTCTGGACTTAAGCTTGCTGAAGCTATGAGAGGAACAAGGAGAGACACTCTGGAGATGCAATGCTGTGAACTCTATTCACTTCCATGTAGATCCAGGTGTAAAATGAACCATATATCTTAAAAAGCTACAGCCTCTGAATTCTCAACGGAGTGTTTGGAACTTCCCTGAATCTTGCTGCTGCTCAGCAGAGATTGGAGTGGTGTGTACCAATATAGGGCTTGCTGATCGGAAGGTCGGCAGTTCGAATCCCTGCGACGGGTGAGCTCCCGTTGTTCAGTCCCAGCTCCTGCCCATTATTATTATTATTATATCACCTAGCAGTTCGAAAGCATGTCAAGTACAAGTAGATAAATAGGTACCGCTCCAGCAGGAAGGTAAATGGCGTTTCCATGTGTTGCTCTGGTTCGCCAGAAGTGGCTTAGTCATGCTGGCCACATGACCTGGAAGCTGTCTGCAGACAGACGCCGGCTCCCTTGGCCTCTAGAGCGAGATGAGCGTGCAACCCCAGAGTCGTCCATGACTGGACCTAATGGTCAGGGGTACCTTCACCTTTAGGAGAGGGCACTTGACAGTGGGAAGAAAACATGTGCTCACTAGATCCATGACTTTCAAACTTCCTACCTTCAGGGAGTCCTTTCTGTACTGACAGGTAAATCAAGGAACTCCAGAGCTCCAAGGAGGATTCTAGTTCCTGTGTGTTGTTGGGTTTGTGCTTGGGTTAGGAAAGACATTGGTTGGCCTGTCAGGCTGCTTCATTTGTGTAAAATGAGGGTGAACCTTGGAGGACACCCCAACATTTCCCTGCAGTTGTTTGTCACAAGGCAAGATCAGGAGTCGGGAACAAACCTTGCGGGGACGTTTGTTTTCCTTTTACAGATCATCTTATGATTATCTGAGGGTTTCCTGGAATGTAGTGTGACAACGACAGGGTTAGGGAAATATGAACTTGTATCCTCTTTCAATAGAAAGCAACATGTTAACAAGATATCATGGCTTCTGGGAAGTTATGTATCAATATGGCTAAAATCCCATTTATTGTGAAACAAGAAAGAATGATGGTGTATGGATCGAGGCAACATAGATTAAATTGTTTGCTATTGGGTTCATTAGTAAGTTAGTATATGATACATAGTAATTTGCTGGATACTTTTGCGATTTTCTTGTGACTTATTGTAACAAAACCAGTGGTTACAATTATTAACATTCTTACATACCGTATATATATTTTTAAACACATGTAAAGTATTTGCATGAAACACACCATAGTTTGTAAGTTGAGGGGTGCACTTGAACAGTGAGAAACATTAAATTATCTTGGCCAGATACGTAGAAGTCAAACAGTGTGGTGGCAATTTCAAACCTTTCTAAAAACAGCTACCAAAATGTAGGAAGTTTCTTAAGCAGAAGTTCCCGGAGAAGGTCAAAGGAAAGATGAATCATGATGGAAGTGGTTACTGAAACAATTGGCTTCTCAAACTGGCAAATCAAAGCTGTCTATATTTCACAACATGGTGAGATTCTCCCAAATTCTTCAGTTGGATGGGTGGGGACAGGACTTTTTCCCAGCCAGAACTTGCCAGAACTCCATTCCGGCACCTCTCAGGTGGGCACCATTGTCATTATAAGAGAACGAGGGAGCTATTCATGGTGAGTTCTGGCACCGAGTGAGGAGAAAATATGTGCACCATGTGTACAACTTGTCAAAATGTCTGACTGTGAAGACCTTAAGGGACTGTTCATAGATACAGGCAGTTAAACCCTATTGATGGCAAGGGACCAAAGATCAAACAGATGACCTGGTGAAAGTCTGGAATGAAAACACAAATGTAAGAAATCACATCTCTGTGCTTCACCAAACATCTTTCCTAAACCTTTGTAGAATGTGCTACTCCTTTCACAGTGTGACTCTGCATATTTACTCAGAAGGAAGTTCCACTGAGTTCAGTGGGACTTACTCTGAGGCAAGTGTGCTTAGTACTGCAGCTGTATAGCTGAAAAAATCTCTTTGTGAGAACTTTCTGGGTTGCAAATGCTTTCTAAATCTTTCCTGTCCTAGGTGTCACATGTGGATAGACTAGGTAATTGCTAAAACTTAGCTTTCCCCCTGCTATTTATTTACTGAGCTAATCTTATTAATGGCTTTTAATCTAGCTTGTTGGACAATATTCCATTGGAAACTCTGGGTTTTCGATGCATTTTTCAAACCACAGATGCCTTTTATAAACTGGATTTGTTGCACTCGGGCACTGGAACACAAAAGCTGTGCAAACCTGCAGTTCTGGTATGCAATTATATCTGTCCTGCAAAATACTGACAATCTGGAGGCACCCATACACAGCACTCAGATCCTTTGAGGAAGGTAGGCATATGAATGCAGTGTATGGATAAATGAAACACTAGACCTCTACTAACAGCCTTGCATTTCATAGTTACTGTGATTTAATGGCCATGAATGTTTGGGTCTCAGTAAATCATAACTTGGAAGGCTGAACCTGAACACAAACTGATGCACTTCTTGTGGTGTGTGTGTGTGTGTGTGTGTGTGTGTGTGTACCTCTGTACAATAATTTTCTGGTCCACTTTCAGTTAGATCCAAGTTTCTAAAAGGCTCAGCTAATACTGTCTCCTGTTAGTTTCTACACAAGCTTATCAGGTGTCAAACTCCGCTGTGGCTTAGCCTTGAGTATGGAGCTTAGTTTACTAAGTCCAAACTGGTCATCTTGGTGTTGCAATAACTGAATAGTCTGGATTTGTTGGTAGCAAACAAATGACAGCATTATTTAACATTCTTAATGTGTTACCATTCATTCATTCATTCATTCATTCATTCATAGCACACTGTTGCTTAGCGTTCCTTACAATTATGCCATTCTTTTTTTTTCTTTTGTAGTAGAACGAAAAGGTTTATTACTACTTAGATGATGGGAAAGGACCCTGCTGTTGAAACCCATGCCAAGGTCCTTGCTGCAGTTCTGCAGAGATATGTGAATTTGTGCAGTTACAGTGGTACCTTGGGTTAAGAACTTAATTTGTTCCGGAGGTCCGTTCTTAACCTGAAACTTTTCTTAACCTGAAGCACCACTTTAGCTAATGGGGCCTCCCGCTGTAGCTGCGCCGCCGCAGCACGATTTCTGTTCTCATCCTGAAGCAAAGTTCTTAACCCGAGGTAATATTTCTGGGTTAGGGGAGTCTGTAACCTGAAGCATATGTAACCTGAAGTGTATGTAACCCGAGGTACCACTGTATTAGACTATCACATGGTAATTTTTAAAGTCATAGTTAAACTTCTGTTATTGTTCATTCCTTCTAAGGATGTGGTCAGTTTACTTAGAGTGCCCTAGCTGTCCACATCGACATGACTCTCTGGTTGTGTACACACACCAGAAGGTGTTGACATGATGGGGATATCTTTACCCTATGCAAAAGAGTTCACACCCCAGCTATAGGTGAATTAGGAAAAGCTTGAAACAATGCATGAAACTGTAGCACCTTATAACAAAGTACAGGATGCATATGCATGTTAGATCGTGTCATGTGAGCATGTTTTTAAAACTCAGCACAGGAAACACAGTGAGTGTGCTGTTGATGGGACTGTGGACACAGCCTTGGCTATCATACATTGTCTTTCTACCTCCAAGTTGATATTCTTATCTAAGCCAGTGTGGGCTTGCATTCAACTAACTTTTATTCAGGGTCAACCCGTTGAAATTAATGTCCATGACTAAGTTGGGTCCATTCATTTCAATGGATCTACCTTGAGGAAAGGTTAGTTAAATGCGACCCATAGCTTCTCCAGGACCAGTTGTAAGTGGTTTGCTTCCTTGCTGACACTCTTCCCGGCATGGGGAATTCCTAAGCCTTGTCTCCCAAGTGACTTTGTTTTTCCACCCTGATGATTTATGTGACACATAGTTTTTCACATTAATGGCTGTCTTTTGCCATGAAAATGTGAGTCCATTCATCTTTTCACAAATCTTTTGGAAAGATTGAATGTGAAACTAAGCTTGACTGTTGTATCTGTGTTTTGAACAAGAGTGTCTCTGTGTAAGGGAGAAAAATAATTACCTCACTGCTATCAACCAGTGATGCAGCTTGGTTATTTTAGTTCATGGACTTAATGGTTTGTGTGTATTTTAGATGGCCATGTCTTTTTGTGTGTACAGTGGTACCTCTGGTTATGTACTTAATTCGTTCTGGAGGTCCGTTCTTAACCTGAAACTGTTCTTAACCTGTGGTACCACTTTAGCTAATGGGGCCTCCTGCTGCTGCCGTGCCGCCGGAGCACGATTTCTGTTCTCATCCTGAAGCAAAGTTCTTAACCCGAGGTAATATTTCTGGGTTAGCAGAGTCTGTAACCTGAAGCGTATGTAACCCGAGGTACCACTGTATTTTAGACAGCACATTAACATTCCCCTTTTACCCTCTGCCACCATTCCATGCTTTTGCAACTGGTTCTACATCCCTGATATACCAGAGGAAAACAGAAGTTTGCTAGTCCTGATAAAAAAGAAAAGAGAAAAGGAATATCCCTGAGCATGTGCAGTTTTGCATTTTAAACTTGTGTGAATCATATCACTACTTCGGGGGGTGGGGGGCAGAGAGTGAGTTTGCTTCTGCTTTTCCGATCTGAAATATATTTATTTGGGAATACGTACCATTCTGTTGTAGAAGAGATTTTTTTTTAAGCATAAAAATAATAAAACAAGCATTCCTAATGCATCTGCCCTATACATTTAAAGAAGTACAATGTTACTTTAAACAGTCATGGCTTCCCTCAAAGGATCCTGGGACTGCTGTTTGTTAAGGGTAGTGCTACCCATGAAGCTACGATTTACAGAGTTCCTATGAGTAGGGATTGATTGTTAAATACCTCTGTGAATTACAGTTCTGTGAACAGGGGGAGTCTCCTAACAACTCTCAGCACCCTTAACAAACTACAGCTCCCAGGATTCTTTGGGGGGAAGTCAAGGCTGTTTAAATAATGCTTCAAATGTACAGTGCAGCTGAGGCCTAACTAACTGCTTCCTGACTATGTAGTTGTATTTAAAAATATGAATGGCTGCTGTGGTGACCAGGGACGATCATGGTGCGTCATGTGACCATTCTGGTCCAGGTGCTTATACTGAGGCTTTTCACTGATCTCCCACCATCAGCTGCTCTCTGGGGTCATTTGTCCCCCACCCCACAGACCTCAAGGTTCCTGTCCTTGGCTTTGAGGTCCAGCCTTAGCTGCACCACGGCCAATGATAACCAAGGTCAAGTACAGTTTATGAAGCCTGCACATCAAATTCAGCCATCTATGTTTCATTAATGGGATGCGGGTGGTGCTGTGATCTAAACCACAGCGCCTAGGGCTTGCCAATTGGAAGGTCAGCGGTTCAAATCCCCACAACAGGGTGAGCTCCCGTTGCCCAGTCCCAGCTCCTGCCCACCTAGCAGGTCGAAAGCACCTCAAAGTGCAAGTAGATACACTGGTACCTCGGGTTAAGTACTTAATTTGTTTCGGGGGTCTGTTCTTAACCTGAAACTGTTCTTAACCTGAAGCACCACTTCAGCTAATGCGGCCTCCTGCTGTTGCTGCACCACCAGAGCACGATTTCTGTTCTCATCCTGAAGCAAAGTTCTTAACCTGAGGTACTATTTCTGGGTTAGTGGAGTCTGTAACCTGAAGCGTATGTAACCCGAGGTACCACTGTAAATAGGTACCGCTCCGGCGGAAGGTAAACAGCATTTCCATGCGCTGCTCTGGTTTGCCAGAAGCAGCTTTGTCATGCTGGCCACATGATCCGGAAGCTGTCTGCGGACAAACGCCGGCTCCCTCAGCCTATAGAGTGTGATGAGCGCACAACCCCAGAGTCATCTACAACTGGACCTAATGGTCAGGGGTACCTTTACCTTTATGTTTCATTAATTTGTGACAATTTCAGCTAAATGGCCGAATGGTAGTCACAGACCATGTCACCTTTCCCCTGCTAACAAGGAGTGTGAAACAATTGCTAATATTAAAAGGCTGGATGCTTACAAAGCTTCAGTTCCTGGTGTATCACTGATGCTGCAAGACACTGTGAGATTGGCTTTCATTTTGGGTCTCTTAAGGCAAGTTGGTTTGCTTGTCAGACAGTTGTTTGCTGTTATCCTGAATGCCATATGCCTTGGGAGGAGCAATCGCTAGGGCAGGAGTCTAATCTTCAAAGCTAAGAAGCGTTGACTCCTCTCCATATTTATGTCTCAACTCCATTGGACTAAGTATCCTGACCGATGATGTCTCTGTTTCCTTAGGTATGAGTTGGTACTTCTATCTACGGTAAATTTTTCTGAAATTGTTCTCCGCAGTCCTTGAGCTTAGGGTTGCAGACCAGCCAATTGGATCTTGAACGAAGACAAAGAGACTGCCGTATTTACTTTTCTAAGTGGAATAACCTTTTTGCTCAATTCCAGAAGTTTGGAGTGTGCAAATTACTGCACTAATTACTGGTGCAGTAATAGAATTGCAAGTGCACAACAGCAGTTTGGAAGCCCCTCTGTTTCTCAGCCCACAGCCCAGGGCATCTTAGCTCCTTGTTCTTAGTTTCCTCTGATATTTTCCTCACCCGGCTCTCCTGTTCTAAACCTGTTTACCTGTTTAGTATCCTTTCCTGCAAAAAATATTATTATAATTATTATTATATATTTATTTATACTCTGCCTTTCCCCCCTGACAGGGACTCAGGGCAGCTCACAGATAAAATAAGAACAGCTAAAAAAACCCCATTTCCCATTCCTGCATTATGTGTAAGCCTTTTTCTGCCCAAAAGTTCATGTCCCTCACAGTGTATAGAAGCAGCTCTGTAGGGATTTCGTCGCTGATACTCTTGCTCAGCAGCTGAAATGTGTGTGAACATTCCATGCCATTGCATTACCTCTGAAAGGGCTTGGAGATAAGGCTTTATATGTCTCTATTTCGTGGATGGGATTCCATCACATACCAGCATTTTCAAGTTGTACAAATTCAGGATTTGGTGCTCTTGTACAACAAACCTGTTCCAACTCTCTCTCCCCCCCCCGCATAGTAAACAATAGTTGGTTTAAAAATTATCCATGCTCTGAAATATAAATTTCAGTAACTGTGGCATCACTCACTGGAATAGATTCACATGAAATTTGGGTTCCGATGCACTGGCTTAGTTTCTGGATATTTGGATGAATAACGGATTGCCTTTCGAAATTAAATTAAAATGGAAATGAGAACAGACCTTCCATTGGAGTATAGCTAATAGGCAGAGGAGATAATGCAAGTCAAAACATGTAGGATTGATTGGTCATTGTGCAGCGCCTGTACCTTTTCAAAATTATTACAGGCAACTAAAGAAAACAGCCACTTTAGGTCTCTAAATCTTGAAAGTGTGGAAGAATGGTGGGCAAAGGAATTGAAGAGGCAGTGTATTGCAGTGCAGTGCAGTGCAGTGCAGTGCAGTGTAGTGTAGTGTAGTGTAGTGTAGTGTAGTGTAGTGTAGTGTAGTGTAGTGTCTAGAGTAACTCTGGAGACCTGGATTCAAATCCCATCTGTGCCATGAAGCTTGCCATCCTCAGCCCAATCTACCTCGCAGAGTTGTTGTGAAGATACACAAAGATGCAGAAATAGTCCATAGAAAAATATCTGGTAATGTAGCTGGGCGAAGCTCCTTCCTTTAAAGAGGGGAGGGATGTGCAGCAATGGCCTGTTTCTCCCAGTCATGGCTAAAAAAAATTAAATCTGCTTTCGAAAATGTTTCTGGGGGACTAAAACTTTGTTCCTTTTCTGTAGATGGAGTCTCCTGGAGTAGCTTTGATGCTCTGGGCCCTCGCCTGCCTTTCTGGCCCTTCAACCGGCTTCCCAAATGGCAAAGTAACAGAGGCGTGCAAGACTATGATGCCCCAACATGGACACTCTTGCCTCAGCACTTCCCGAAGCACACCGTTGAAGTAAATGTGACGGAGTTCAAGCCAGGGGACCGCGTGAAAGGTACTGTGATCTTCTTGTCTCGCTACCGTCTGCGGCAAGAAGGACATAACGCTCGCTGCTTCTGCGATTGCTGCTGCCACCTTCTTCAGATACTTGGGTGCAGTGTTCCAGGTTTTGTGGGTCCCTTCAGTGAAGTGCCCTGAGTCCCATCCCCTTGCCAGTGTCATTCTTGCCCATTTGATTTCCTTCTTCATCAGGGCCACTGCCGGATTTACATGCAGTGGTACCTCGGGTTACAGACGCTTCAGGTTACAGACTCCACTAACCCAGAAATAGTACCTCAGGTTAAGAAATTTGCTTCAGGATGAGAACAAAAATCGCCTGGAGGCAGCGCTGCAGCAGAGGGAGGCCTCATTAGCTAAAGTGGTACCTCAGGTTAAGAACAGTTTCAGGTTAAGAACGGACCTCTAGTATGAATTAAGTTCTTAACCCGCTCTACCACTGTATAAGCTAAACAAGCTATAGTGGACGCTTGGGTTGCGAACATGATCCGTGTGGGATGCATGTTCGCAACCTGCAGCGTTCGCAACCCACATCTGCACATCTGTGCACGCGTGGGTTGCAATTTGGCGCTTCTGCGCATGCGCAAAGCATGATTTAGCGCTTCTGCACATGCGCGACTGCCGAAACCTGGAAGTAACCCGTTCTGGTACTTCCGGGTTTCGGCGGTCCGTAACCTGAAAAAACGCAACCTGAAGCATTAGTAACCTGAGGTATGACTGTATAGCTTGGCCCCCCCCCCAAAAAAATGTAAAGAAAAAAACCTGGATGTACATTTCCAAAATATAAGATAAAAAACAAAATAAAACATACATACAGCAAAAATGTTTTGTGTTGCGTAGGCTCCTATGATGTAAGTAATGGGCCCCACCTGCTAGCCTGCTCCCTAAAATATCACTGGTTAGAAATCTGTTAGGTCCATAAATTACCATATAGCATATACTCAATACAAAAACAGCAACAAATTGTTGTTGACAAACGACAGCTGGACATATAAAGGGCCCCATTATCATCAGTAGCTTAGGACCTCATCAAACCTAAATCCGGCCCTGGTCAGGGCCTAATCCACACCACTCCTTAGGTGGAGAGAGCAAGGTGTATAGAGGCTGCAGCAGGATGTGGGTGGTGCTGTGGTCTAAACCACTGAGCCTTTTGGGCTTGCCAATCAGAAGGTCGGCGGTTCGAATCCCCACGACAGAGTGAGCTCCCATTGCTCTGTCCCAGCTCCTGCCAACCTAGCAGTTCGAAAGCACACCAGTGCAAGTAGATAAATAGGTAATGCTGTGATGGGAAGCTAAATGGCGTTTCCGTGTGCTCTGCCTTCCGTCGTGCCAGAAGCGGTTTAGCTATGCTGGCCACATGACCGGGAAAGCTGTCTGTGGACAAACACCGGCTCCATCGGCCTGAAAGCGAGATGAGTGCTGCAACCCCATAGTAGCCTTTGACGGGACTTAACCATCCAGGGGCCCTTTACCTTTTTACTTTTTTTAGAGGCTGCAGCTGCTCCTTACTCTTGCACTTGGCCCTGCTCATAGTGGGCAGAGGAGACAGAGTAGACATGAGGAGACAGAGCCACTCAGGAGGAACAGAGGCAGGGACAGAGGACCGGTGGTGATGTGGGCCTCAGGAGGCATCCAGTGGCCTGGCTGTTGTTTTTCATAATGATTATATTTCTTACTAGAAGGTGTCAGTAGTGGCCCCAAGAAAACCACTTGCAGCAGCAGAACTACCAGCACGGCTCCCTCAGCTGATGCCTGTGCTGGTTCTATAGAGAAGGAGGCACGCTTTCGTATACTTGGAGGCCAAGTCATTTAGGGCTTTAAACGCTAATTTGAACAGCTTGATTTGGGCTCGGAAGGTACTAGGTAAGCTGTGCCCTGCCAACAAACCTGGCTTCTGCATCAGTTGCAGCTTCAAGGGAAGCCCCATGCAGAGTGCATTGCAGTAGTCTAGTCTGGAGGTTATAAGAACATGAGGTACTGAAACGTTTACAAGGAATCTTAGACCAGCAGCTCACAGTTCTTAACAGCAGGTAGGGAGAAAGGTTACGCCCAGCTCCTCCCTTTCCTGGAAACATAGAGGCAGGTAGGTGCTGGCGACATAACTAGAGCTATTTAATAGCCATCTCTTCCCTCGTTCTCCTGGTCTCAGTTAGTTTGTCCGGACCTGTGTTTGAAGGATTTTTTCTACAAGCCCGCAATGCTGAGAACCTGGAGGGGCCTGCCATTGGCTCCTTTGCCCTGGCTGACAGGAAAAGATCTCAGGTCCTCACCTGTGGGCGTGTTAAGGTAAGAGTCCCTGCATCTTCCAGATGGCTTTGGCAAGCAGGTTTCTCTATTAGTTACAAGTGGATTAGGCCCCCCCAGCAGCAGAATATGCTGTTGCTACTTTTCCCCGCCTGCATCTGCTTGTTATGGCATAGGAGAAATAAATTGTATGAGTATGAAAATACCCTTTTCTTTTTCTTTTAAGATTTATAAATGAAACTGGCAGAAGTTTGGCTCGGGATGAATGCTCTCCTTTACTGGCAACAATTAAATGTTAGGGCTCCCTCTACTGGGGTATCCACGTGAAAGCGTGCTAATGGTTGCCGCTAGACTGCAATTTCTAAACTTAGCTTTTAGTTTGTCTTTCCCGTAGCATATGTAACTAGAGTACCTTAGTGGACCTCAGAGCAAAGTCACTTCTCCTTTGTAATATACATAGCACAGCACCCCATCTTGTTACAAATGTATTAAAAAACCAAAACAACAAATTTCTAGGTTTCCTTTTTCAGAAGCTGTCCCAGAAACTGCTTCCAAAATTGTTTTCAAAGTTTTTCTAACATGGAGCTTCCTTTGGTAACTGGCATATGCCTTGACCACTAAGTAATCATTATTATTTTAATATGGGAGAATAGCCATGACTGTACACAAAAACAAAAATCTCAAAGTCTACAAATGAAATAATAATAATAATATAACAACAACAACAACAACAACAATTATACCTCACCCATATATCTATAATCTATAAGCACAAACCATTGAGGAGGTGATCCAAATGATATGGTATATATCTCATATATATCTTATCTAAATCTTACATTATGATTCAAAGTGTACCTTAATCAGTTGTCCATAGTCGATGGTGACTTCACCAGAGCCACACTCTTCTTACCACCTCTGGTAATGCCTCGTATTCTCCAATGTCCACTGTACACTAAATTGTACACTAAAATCCCATGGCTTTGCTTTTCCTTGTATCAAACATGTGGAGAAAGTAATTCTTTCCCCCCTAATATTGCTATACCATATGTTTCCATAATAAGTCTTCAAAGACACGTTACGCAGGTTTTCCCCCATGTTGTACTATTGTTTTTTTAGCTGCCACTAGGAAGTGCATTATGAAATCCTTAGAACTTATCTTGTTGTTAGATCCTGTAAATATTGATAGTATAAACAACTCTGGAGTAAAATCTATCTGTGCTTTTGTGACCCCCCCCCCTCAGATTCAACATGAACCTATTTTTTTTTGTTTAAACCGCTTCTCAAGATTTTGTGTCACCTTCATGAAACACGTATGCAGATCAACCCCAAGCCTGAACTGAGCTTATGTGAATGTACTATGAATTAAAATTCATGTGACTCTACTCCGATGTCATGGCTAGATGTGGTTCAAATCTTGCTTGGATTATAAAGATCCCCAGATGATCACACTTAGATTTTTCTCCTGCCATTGGTAGCAGTTATTGTTGGCAGAGAAATATTTTTCTTCTAATCCATACTGAGCTTCATGACCTCTTCAGTATGTGATGTCAATAAGCCTACGATACAAGCCAAATATTAAAACGCAACTTGTGGTAGACTGCTTCAACCATTTAGATGATTCATGAACGGAGTAGTTTGCATGATCTCACTGCGGAATGCTTAAATGGGGCATTTGTATGTTACAGAATTCAGCTGTCAGCCATACAAGTAAATCCAAGAAAAGCCATCTAGATGCTTATTGGATTGCTCCTAGAGATGCACCAAAGAGAATACAATTTCTGTAAGTACGAATAATAAAGACAAATTCATCTATAGCTGGAATCTCTTGACCGAGTGTTCTTAAGTTAGTCTCCTTTCAAAACTTATATACAAAAACACCAATACTGCTATGAAGAAGATGTGACTCAGTGGGAGATCATCTCCTTTGTATGTAGCAGGTCCTCTGTTCAATTCTCCTCCTCCTCCTCTACCTCCCTCTTCTAATTTCTGTAGCACCCTTCATCCGAAGAGCACAAGGTGCTCTATAATATAAAAAAATCCCCAGGTAGGGCTAAGAGAGAAACTTGTCTGAAATCTTAAGAAAGCTGCTGTCAGCCAACATAGACAACAATGACCTGACTCTGTATATAGCAACGGGTGGCGCTGTGGTCTAAACTGCTGAGCCTCTTGGGCTTGCCGATCAGAAGGTTGGCAGTTCAAATCCTCGTGACAGGGTGAGCTCCTGTTGCTCTACCCCAGCTCCTGCCGACCTAGCAGTTCGAAAGCACGCCAGTGCAAGTAGATAAATAGATACTACTGTGGCAGGAAGGTAAAGGGTGTTTCCATGCACTCTGGTTTCTGTCCTGATGTCCCGGTGCACCAGAAGCGGTTTAGTCATGCTGGCCACATGACCCAGAAAGCTGTCTGTGGACAAACGCTGGCTCCCTTGGCCTGAAAGCGAGATGAGCACCACACCCCATAGTTCCCTTTGACTGGGGGTCTTTTACCTTGACCCTTTTAATAGCAACTTCCTATGTTCCTATAATGGGACGCAGGTGGCACTGTGGGTTAAACCACAGAGCCTAGGCCTTGCCAATCAGAAGGTCGGCGGTTCGAATCCCTGCGACAGGGTGAGCTCCCGTTGCTCGGTCCCTGCTCCTGCCAACCTAGCAGTTTGAAAGCACGTCAAAGTGCAAGTAGATAAATAGGTACCTCTCCGGTGGGAAGGTAAACGGCGTTTCCGTGCACTGCTCTGGTTTGCCAGAAGCGGCTTAGTCATGCTGGCCACATGACCCGGAAGCTGTACGCCAGCTCCCTCGGCCAATAAAGCGAGATGAGCGCCGCAACCTCAGAGTCGGTCACGACTGGACCTAATGGTCGGGGTCCCTTTACCTTTACCTTTCTGTTCTTATAAGTCTTGAACATATTTCTGTTCTGAGTAAAGGGCTTCACTCTTTTAAAAGCCTGCTTCTGATATTCTGTAAAAGGAAATCAATATAAATATGACTTTAAAAAAGTAACATTATTATTGTATCACCAAAACCACTGTTGCATCCATATTACTGTGACTTTCAAAATATTTATTTTGGACTTCTCTTTCCTGAAAGCTGTTATGTTTCAGATGTTCAGAGATGACTCACCTCCACTTATTCAATGTTTTTATTTGCTTTTGCAGAGGATGAAGCCCATTGGCGATGGGCTCCCCTGCCTGTGTGTGTGGCAAGGCTGTAGTTGAAACCTCTGCATGACAAGCTTGTGGCCTTGTTTTGATTTTCTGCAGCAGCCTTCGCCAACCTGGTGCTGTCTAGATGCTTTGAACTACAGTTCCCATCAAGCCCAGCCAGCAGGACCACAATGGTTGGGGCTGATGGGAGCCGTAGTCCAAAGCGTTTGGATGGTGAAGAGCTTGCTAATATTCGCAGGTAAATGTACCAACCAAGTCTTCGGTGTGCACATCTTTCTCCATTGTCCAACTAAACACCTGCTATCTTCTCCACCAATTTGAAACTGGGTGACAGGCCCACGCCACTATGACTGGTGGCAACCATTACTCTCTTGTAACGGAATAAGGTCAGAGATTATTTCCTGGTAACTTAACACCTGAATAAATATGTAGCAGTCTTCCCCAACTTGGGGCACTGCAGACAGCTGCTATCATGCCTGACCATTGGTCATGCTGGCTGGGACTGATGGAAATGGACCACCAACAACATCTTGAGGGCATCAGGTTAAAGAAGGCTGGTCCAAAACATCTGTTTTGGATTTCAGGAAGGACTTGTTCTATACGGAAGAGAACAGTACACAATTTTGGTTCAAATCTCGCTTTTGTCTTGTTTTCAGAGTCACTGTTGTAGAAAAATTTAGAGTATTTTGGGTAAAAATTCCAGGTCCTACAATCTCCCAGCCCAATATACCAACCTTGGCAACACCTGTGGTGACTGAGGTGACTGTTGGAACTTCTCTGCCTGTTTCTCATCTAACCCAACCAGTAAGTAGCGCTGAGCTCATGAACGGAGCTGTTTGGATTTTAGTGAAATGTGACTTCATCAGGGAAGATTGCAGCCTGAAAAAGAGTTGGGGCATCCAGTCACACACTCCCCTCTCACTAAGTGCCTAGGATTGCCATATTTCCAAAAGTAAAAACCAGGTTACCCCAAAAGCGTTTTTTAGAAAGACCCCAAAGTTATTGAAAATGCAAAACCCCCACTATTTCTCGGTTTACTTGCCGAAGATCCAGGACAAACCACTGCCTTCTGGAAATTCCCCCCGACGTCACTTCCGCCTTTGAAATCCCGGTAATGTCCAGGAAATCCCAGACGTATGGCAGCCCTATAAGTGCCCCTTGTACCCATGCTGAAGGATAGCCCCAACTGCACTTTGCATCAGCCTTCTCAGCTGACTGTGTGGTGTGTGCTAGTGAATGCATGGATTGGCTCCAAACCACCATAGACAGATGACTTTTATACCTCCAGATACCTATCTGCATCTTGGTGCATGGTGCCAGAATGCACCATATCTCCTCACTAGATGTGCTTCCAGGGCTATAATTTTGTTCAAACTGCATGTCCTCCCACCCCCGGTGGTGGACATGTGTCACTGGAAGGAGTGTGTAATATGACTAGGCCTTATCACATCTTGGTCACACGAATTATGTATTGGCTGATAAGATTTCTTGCATTAAGAATCTTCATGACAAATGGGGCTCAAGGTGATCTGAAGTCTTATGCCTAAGGCTCAGCGTTTCCCCCTGTTCGATGCCTAATCCTTGGCTTAAACGCAAGTGCAGAAATAGATGCCAGCCTTTACACAGATTTTCAAACCATGAAACCACACTTTTAATCCTCTTCATGAATCGATTGCATCAGTCATCTGGTTTCTATTGAATCTTGTTCGCCTTTTTGGGTAGCAGCTACAGATTAGATTTCCTTTCAGTCTTGTCTCTTGTCAAGGACTGTATTAACCATCATTCCTGCCATTTCAGAAACTTAGATGAATCTTGTTGCCTCCAATATTGAACTTCAGGGTAACTTCTTTAAATGATTATTTGCTGTAGTGTGGTTTTTTTTTTGCACTTGGCCTCCTGCAAAATGAACAGACAGTATTTCATTCTTTCTCCTCATTAAAATCCATAGGGACCTCCTTTTTAATCTTTACAGAGCTTGTGTAATTATCTGGAGCAGTTTGGTATGATTCAGAAAGCCTTTAATTATACTCCTGCTAATGCAAAGTTTCGAGCAATTAACAGAGCTGCCTGACGAAGACAAGAGTAGGATTGTAGTGTGCACCCAAAATTACAGAGTTTGAACGATGTCGATTTGAGGCTTGCAGCTTAATAATGGCCAGAGAAACTAACTGTAATTGCTGGGTAGAAATCTGAGGTTGTGGGAAACTGTTTCCCGTTAAAATCCTGCAACGGTGCGAGTGCATTTTCCAGAATGTCAGCCATTTCTCAAGTAGTGATCTATTAGGTAATGTAATTTGGCTTCTTGTCTCCCTTAGTTCAGTGCATCGGACTGTGGCAGCAACAAATTCTGTGTGAGAAACCCTTCCGACTGTGATCCTGGAGCCCGCGACTGCTTCTTTCTGTCTTTCAAACGAGACCATGTCGATTTGATTGTGGTGGAAATGAGTGGTCCTAGCGATGGCTATATTGCATTTGCACTGTCTCATGACCAGTGGATGGTTTGTAAACATTATTTTCCATTCGGATCCTGTTGCCAATCTGGGGAATTTGCATAGCCTTCTGGAAATAAGAATGAACCATAAAAAGCCAGAATATACTTGAGCGAGAGAGCTGCAATTAGCTAGAAGTTCCCTTCCATGAGTATCCAGGGCATATATACATTTCCAACTGCATGACTGCTTGCACCAGTACTGAATAAGTACTGTATGAGAGGTACAGAGCACATTTCATTGATAGCATACTTTATCAAATCGATTTTGTTTTGTATAGCACCCAGGGATTTGCTTGAATGAAGGATGTTTTACAAGAGTGGCAAATAAAGTTTTCCGACGCGCTATTCTTGTACTGGTGGTAGCACAGATCCTGAGAGCTCATTTTTGTATGTGCTCCCAAACTCCTAGGACCTAGGGGCTTGCGTCATGTCGCTACCAGAGTTTGCAGCCCCTTACTACTTGTGCAAGTGAAAGCTGAATTGACTCTAGTCCTGGGGTTCTTAAAATAGGAACTTCAGTGAATGTGTCCTTAAATGGTGAGCCAGTTTTGGATAGGCTTTCATGAGCCTCCATTTGTCTTGGCTGTGTAGCCAGGGCCTGTGCAGACATGGGGAGCTGCCTGCCCTGGAAATGCCATTTAATAATCTTTTTGACGTTATTTGCAGGGTGGTGGTGACGATGCCTATCTCTGCATTAGTGACAGTCACCATGTTGACATCAAGACAGCTTCTTTAACTGGACGTGCTTATCCAGAGTTTGATTCAGAGGTATTTGCGTCTTTATATATATAATTTTCTGTTTTGCAATTTAAAATACTCATTTTACATCCTTAAGATATCAGTGACTTCCCTTCTTCTCTTTCCATGGTTCATTTTACATATCATAAATCCCTGCATATTTTACAAAAACTATACTACTCAGTATTCCATTACTGCATCCATCAAAACTTGTTTACACTGTAGTTTACACGTGTGTTCTTCTTGTTCTCTTATTCTATATGTTAAGTCTGCGAGTTGTGCATATTCTGTCAGTTTAAGTTGCCATTCTTCTTTAGTTGGGAAAGTTTTCCATTTTTGGGCTAACAAAACACAGGCCACAGAAGTAGGATACAGAAATAACCTTTTTTTTAACACCTGGGAATTTCAGTCTGAATTATCCCTAACAGAAAGGACTCTGTTTTTTTTTTTTTGGAAAGTACTCTTAAACATTTCCCCCCCCAATTCATTATGGATAATTTCCCAGTACTTTTACCCTTTTACAAGTCCACCACATATGAAAGAACGTCCCCTCCACCTCTTTGCATCTCCAGCACTTATCTGATTCAGACTTATATGTCTTAGCAAGCCTACTCAGAGTTAAATACCATCTGTGAATCATTTTCAGGTAGTTCTCCTTCAAAGAATAGCATGCTGTAAACTTCAAGTCACTTTTCCAGAGTTTTCCCCCCAGAGGTTAAAATCTACCGTATTTTTCACTCTATAAGACGCACCAGACCATAAGATGCACCTAGTTTTGGGAGGAGGAAAACAAGAAAAAATATTCTGAATCCCAGAAGCCAGAACAGCAAGAGGGATCTGGCTTCTGGGATAGCTGCACGAAGCCTCTTGAGGGCAGGGGGAGGAAGGCTCCCCCAAGAGCCGCGCTCCCTTTAAAGAGCATGCGGAGTGTGTGTGTGTGGCTCTTGGGGGCTTTTCCCTGAGGAGGGAGAAGGGCAGTCCTTCTCCCTCCTCGGGGAAAAGCCCCCAAGAGCCACACACATGCTCCACGCGGCTCTTTAAAGGGAGCGCTGAGCAGAGACTCCCACCTGCATTCGCTCCATAAGACGCACACACATTTCCCCTTACTTCTTAGGAGGGGAAAAGTGCGTCTTACAGAGTGAAAAATATGGTATATTGTATCCTATATCGATTGTCCAGTTTGCCACTGAGGCTTTAACAAGCTCGTCTTTTCTTTCCCAAAGAGATGTATTTGTTCCATGGACACTTTTTAATTTTTTTAATGCAGATTATAGGATTGAATCCATCATGTTCCTATGATAGACAAGCCTACACATGTTGGCTTATTTGGCTTCCCCCAAAGAATCCTGGGAATTGGTACATTACTCACAATTCACAGCACCCTTAACCAACTACAGTGTCCAGGATTCTTCGATAACATTTTAAGATCGCACCTATACCAGCGTAACTAGCAGAACAACACAGCAAAGCTTTGGGATCTTTGCCCTTTTCTGCTGTCAGTGTGTTTCAAAGTTGACGTTGAAGAAAACTCTTTGCCCACATAGTTCAAAGCAAAGTATTTTATTGCCGCAAGTCAACAAGACAATTATTCACGTGACATACATGCAGTTAGGAGATTCTGGGTCATTGTAACCTATACACTGCTAATAAACTAAGTATAGTAACCTCGTCTTAGGAGGTTGAGGTAAAAATGGCAAAGAGACTCAAACCAGACAGAGATCCATGCAAGGCTGCTGTTTGCTTCTGGCTATATATATATCAGCCAACATACACACATGCACAAACTCACTTTTCCCTCTGATGAGAAAGGGGTGGGGGGATGAGTCATGCCAGAATCCTTCAGCCTCAAGCTGTTTCAGAAGGCCCACCACAGCTGGCATCCTAACCCTGAACAGAAATCAGACCCAGGGGAAGGGCAACTTGAGAGACAGACCTAAGCACAGTTAATGCAATTAACACCAATATTTAAATTACACTAACCTTCTTTGGGTCAAGTCCTGTGCTTTAAATATATGTTCTGTACCCAGCCTGGGGCAACTGTGGGGGTGGCGTGGTAGCCATGTGAAACTGGCACATGGATCCAGCTTTTATTTGCCTCTGATCTCCATTGCTTGGCAAAGAGTTCCTCTCTTTTTTAAAAAATAATTTTTTATTAGATTTTATAAAGAGAGATGCAAAGATTATTATCAGATATCTTTTCTGTCCAAACTGAAATGTTAATTTAAGTAAAATAAAAGCATTGATGCAGAGGAGAAGAAAGAAAGAAAAAAAGAAAGAGAAAGAAAGAAAAGTTAAGAAACTAAGGAACTTCCGATTCTTCATCTGAATAAACATTTTTCAACTCATCCACTCCAATATAAGAGTTTCTTGCCCGCAGAGCATGGGTATAGTGGACTCTGAGCTTTCAAAATTGCCTCTGTTCCCCATGGCTCTTGGTAGGGTGATGTTGAGAAATCACTGTGCAGGCACACCAAATTTAGCATTAGAAATACATTGGTTGTCTCACACGCACAGTGGTTGCTTCCTAAAAGCCAGCCAATTTGGATCAGGAACATGGGACCATAGCCAAGGAGGAGGCAGGGAGGGGCAGCTGCTCCCTCAATCAATAAAAATACATACTGATGTTCTGTCCCCTGTGACAAAAATCCTGGCCACGCCCATGATCAGGAATGTTTGTTCTGATAAACCCGGTTGCCTGTAAGCTTTCGATGGCAGCACTAGGCATGTAAAAAAGAAAGAAAGCTATATTTGTGGTCATTCAGCTTGGGAGGCAGAAATGTTAAATTGGCATTGATTTATCTTCCCCACAGCCTGCTCTAGATGAAATGTCATGGAGGCTGGCTGACGGCCTTATTCAGTGCTCTTTCAGAAGGAGAATTCACTTTCCTGCTCTTCAAGGGAGGTTTAATCTTGATGCAAATTACTATATATTTATGGCAGATGGGGAAGTCAGTGAAGGTAAGTTTGGAACTGAAAGAAAAGTGACAAAAATCCTTAAGGTTCCATTACTGGTTATGGACTGTAGTTAGGCAATGGAGCCCTCCTGGAGTGACTTGGATTCAAATTTGTATGTGTGCGTGCAATTTTTATTAAGTTTTCTATTTTGCAATTTAAAATATTCATTAAACCTTAAAATATCAATGACTTCCCTTCTTCTCTTTCCATGGTTCAATCTGCATATCATAAATCCCTGCATATTTTACATATTAATACATCCAGCAAGACTTGTTTACACTGCTGAAATTATCTTAATGCTGCCAATGTTTTCAAGTGTACACAGTTTCCCCCATATATTCAGCAAACATTTTCCAGTCTTCTTTAAACGTATGTTCTTCTTGTTCTCTTATTCTATATGTTAGACCCGCAAGCTGTGCATATTCCTTCAGTTTGAGTTGCCATTCTTCTTTAGATGGGAGCTTGCTCGTTTTCCATTTTGGGGCTAACAAAACACGGGTCACAGCAGTGGCATACATAACTAGCCTTTTTTGACACCTGGGAATTTCCGTCTGAATTATCTCCAACAAAAAGGACTCTGGGTTGTTGTTTTTGAAAAGTACTTTCAAACATTTTTTTCAATTCATTATAAATTATTTCCCAATACTCTTTTTACCTTTTTACAGGTCCACCAACTTGAATTCAAATCCTTACTTTGCTGCAAAGCTCACTGGGTGATCTTGAGCCAATCACTAACCTCTTAGCCAAACCTACCTCGCAGTCCCTGTTCCTTGCGGGGTGCAGATAATTCTCCCCACCCTTCCGTTGCCATTAACATGTCATCTATTCTTCATCTCTTGCGCAGGAGGTATGATCCACAAACACTACAGGCAGCCTCTGATCACAGACGGAAAGTTTAACGTTACAGGACCGGCAAAGGATATTGGAGGATCCCGCTCCCCACTTCTCATCAAGATCCATGGCAAGCTAATGCTCTGTTTCATGTGCAAGGATGGGATAGGTCTTCTGTGGTCCAGTGACTTGTAGCTGGGGTGATGGGGTCTTCTTGCAGCCCTGTGCTTTCTACATGAAAGCTTCTCAGAGGAAGAAGGTGTGCAAACTTTCATACCATCTTTATAGGAAGCAGTGCAAGAACTGCTTCTGATATTTCAGGCTGGGGATGAAAGAAACCACAATGGCTCGAAAAGCAGTCTTTCAATGTCTGAAGCCATAAAAGTGAACTTTGATTTGATTTGATTTTTAAATCATGGCTACTTTGCAACTTATAGCTCTTTGCAAGAACCTTTTGTGTCTTCCTTTTTCAGGTGCATTAATGTTCGTTGCATGGATGACCACCGTTAGCATTGGTGTGATCGTTGCCCGATTCTTCAAGCCTGTCTGGCCTAATTCATTGCTGTTTGGAGAAGAGATCTGGTTTCAGGTGGGAGGAAAAGCCAGAAGATGGCCATTGTCTCTATTCAAGTGATGTGCTAGGAATCATAATAGTTGGAAGGCATCTCTAAGGTCCTGCAATCCAACCTTCTGCAAGATTTCCCTCAAATCCTTTTGTGTATTCCTTAAGAGCATAGGTTCCATTTTTATTCTAATTCTGATTTTCTGCCTCCATGTTCCTTGTTACTAGAATTTTGCATAAGAATGAGTCTCTGGCTTCTATTGAACTAAGCTATTTTCTTTAAAATACCTAACTTTTTATCAATAGGTCCATCGTGCCCTAATGGTGATGACAGTGCTGCTTACAGGTGCATCTTTCATTCTTCCATTCTTATACCGGGGAGGCTGGAGCGATGTAAGTGACATTACATAAGCTTGATGCTTTTATTCAACAATGTAACTCCCCATGTGTGGCTATGTTAAACATTTCATTTTCTGACACTGTTCTTTCCCGTTACCTATAAAATCCCCGCAATGGGGTGAGCTCCCGTTCCTCGGTCCCTGCTCCTGCCAACCTAGCAGTTCGAAAGCACATAAAAGTGCAAGTAGATAAATAGGTACCGCTCCAGCGGGAAGGTAAACGGAGTTTCTGTGCGCTGCTCTGGTTCGCCAGAAGTGGCTTAGTCATGCTGGCCACATGACCTGGAAGCTGTATGCCAGCTCCCTCGGCCAATAAAGCGAGATGAGTGCCGCAACCCCAGAGTCGGTCACGACTGGACCTAATGTTCCTTTTACCTAATGGTCCTTTTACCTTATAAAAGAGCCACAAAGTTCAGAACCGAGAGCTAAGTTTGTTCTTGATTTGTTATGTAAGACACCTGATGTAGATGACCAAGTGAAAAATCCTGTATTTGCCATCTGGTCTTGGCAAACTTGTGACAAAGTTGCGATATTTGCAGTCGGTGCCCAAAAATCGAGGAGAATGTTCAGTGAGGATAACATGGTGGGAAGTAAGGATTTAATTGGGAATGAAACATAAATTGTGTTTTAATGTTGTATCTATGTATATACAATGGTACCTCGGGTTACGAACTTAATTCATTCCGGAAGTCCATTCTTAACCCGAAGCGTTCTTAACCTGAGGTGCGCATTCCCTACATAGGCCTCCTGCGGCCCCAGAAGCAGATTGCATTCATATTGCAAAATTCGCAACCCGGGACAGCTACTTCTGGGTTTGTGGAGTTCGTAAGCAGGACTGTTCGTAACCCGAAGTACCACTGTATTTTATAGGATGTATGTTCGTTTTTTTCGGTGGTTGATATGGCTGTGATGGTTGAAACAAACAAGCAAACAAACAATTCAGTGCCAGAAGTCTTGGGCGGCTGGGATGCTTGAATATATATGTTTGGGAGTCATTATCTTGTCTGCTAATATTCATGGCTACCTTGGGAGAGGAGAAAGCTAATGATTGATGGTACATGGACACTTCCAGCTCAATATGTGATAATTCTGGAAAATCTGAGGACTTGTCAGTTATTGTGTCTAATATGTCCGATGCCTTGGGAATTGGTGGGGCAGGATGGAGCAGCGAAGCCACAACCATACTAGCAGCCCCATTGCTGGGGTGCAAGGTGTGTGTGTGTGTGTGTGTGTGTGTGTATGTGTGAAGGAGGTAAATTGCTGCACCAGCTTTCATCCACCCCTCCCCAAAACCTGGTCCAAAGAAGGTTAGGAATGCACCCTAATACAATAGCATAATTTCTTCTGCATTTGCTCCACAATGAGAGAATTATTATGCCATCTCCTAGTAGCATTGGGGCCTTTTCTTTGTTCTGGAGTCTTTGTGCATGTGTGTGCTTCTATTTGATACTTGGTAAATAATGGTAATTCTTTTAAAAAATAAAATAAAAGTGTTCTCCCCAAGTCTGGCTTTCTAAGTATGGGAAACGGTCCCTTGAGTACAGTAGTACCTTGGTTCTCAATCTTAATTTGTTCTGGAAGCCCGCTCCAAAACCAAAGCGTTCCAAAACCAAGGTGCGCTTTCCCATAGAAAGTAATGCAAAATGGATTAATTTGTTTTACTATCCAATGAGGCCATAGATCCATAAAATGAAAGTAATAAACAATGTACTGCAGTAACACAATCAGCAGCTGAACTGGGTTCCACACAGTCACTAAAACAAAAAGAAAGAGCTGCAAAAACAAAAATGCAAAAGAAATAGCAAAAACAGATAGACCTCAGCATAACACTCAAAATGGAAGTGTGGAACTCAAATCGGAAGCGTAACATTCAAAACATTCAAAAATGTTCGGCTTCTGAAAAAAGTTCTCAAACCGGAACACTTACTTCTGGGTTTGCAGTATTTGGGTTCCAAGCTGTTTGAGTACCAAGGCATTTGAGGACCAACATACCACTGTATTCAAGAACTTGCATAGCATATCCATGCAATGACTATATCCTGCTGTGAAGTGTGGTCTTTGTCAAAAAAGCATTGTTGGAGGGTTGTTCATAACCAAACCCATCTTTTATGCAGCAAGCAGGCTTCCATCCATATCTTGGCTGTACGGTGATGGCACTGGCAATCTTTCAGCCCATTATGGCAGGCTTCAGACCTCCACCTCAAGCACCAAGGTATTCTTGCATGCTCAAGTTACATAAATATATTCCAATGAGAGTGCGAGGGAATTACCAGCCAGGTTAAGAGTTTTAAAGGGCAATGATCCTGTGGTTAATGGGTATGGAAACCCCAGACCTGCCCCCTCTTCCAGAAATTTGCAACTACCATGTTTGCAAACTCCAGTTACAGCAACCCTAATGAGTGTGTGGTGATGTAACCACCCTCTTTCTCTTTTCACATCCCGGGCACTGATGGTGTTTGGAATCATGCGCTGACTTTCCTTTCCTTTTTCTTTGGGAACAGAAGAGAAATCTTCAACTGGTTACACTGGAGCACGGGCACAACTGCTAGAATATTAGCAGGTGAGTGAATAATTCATTCTAGCCTTATCTAAAATGTTGACTTTGTAAGATGGCTAGGAACAATGGGTATTGATTGTGCTTTTCTTAAGTTAATTTGTGTGGCCTTCTACAAGTGGCAGTCCAATGCTTGCAGATCTTGCATTTTGTGGTAACTTCACTCTTGCATCCTGCTGACTACAGTGGTACCTCGGGTTAAGTACTTAATTCGTTTTGGACATCTGTTCTTAACCTGAAACTGTTCTTAACCTGAAGCACCACTTTAGCTAATGGGGCCTCCCACTGCTGCCGTGCCGCCACCGCACGATTTCTGTTTTCATCCTGAAGCAAAGTTCTTAACCCGAGGTATTATTTCTGGGTTAGCGGAGTCTGTAACCTGAAGTGTCTGTAACCTGAAGCATATGTAACCCAAGGTACCACTGTACTTGAAATTGCTTCGGTTTCACATGCAATATCAAATAAATGCACGTTGTTCCGTGACCACAATCTGATCATCACTGGGAGTGCATAGACTACAACTGCTAAACATTGTGTCTGAAGGCTTAAAGCTCCTCTAAATAGCCTGTTTGTTGGGTATTCATCCCGATTTGCTTGTCCAAAGTTTACCTATGTCTGGTCTTTATTGGACACTTGTTCTGATTTGCTTACATCTTCCCATTAGTCATTTGTTCATCCGACATTTGTCAGCGCATTTCCCTGTCATTTCCAAACTGCAAAGAGTCAATTAAAAAATAAAATAAAAAATGTGTTGTTATGGGTCCACAATGCTTTAAATCCACAAATATAAAATTCAGTGGTCACTTGAATGACTTCTACAAAATGCTGATGTTCTGGAGGAAGCCTTAGTGTCTGTACATTGGAAACCACAGAGGGCATGGAATCTCTTGCTTTATACAAGTGAGCAGGTAGCCTGTAATTACATGGGACTCTGGGTTGTATTTTTATCATGTATTTTGTTGCTAACCACATTGCAGCAACAAGTTGCAGTAGAGCACTGCCGGTTGAAATTACTTGTTCTAATTTTGCTTACTCTCTGTTTTGTAAACCTGGCCCTGTCCTTTAGTGGTGGTAATATTCCTCGGAATGGACTTGCCAGCTCTCAACCTTCCGGATCCATGGGATACATATACGATGATGGGATTTGTAGCTTGGCATGTTGGCACTGATGTTCTCCTAGAGATACATGGCTACTGCCTCATTCACAAAGGTACTGTGACCAATCTCTACTTTAGCTTGCATTGAACACAATGCAGTTGCAAGAAGAGGCAGATATCCTGGCTCATGAAAGAGATAGCTTTACACTGTCTAAATACCTGTTTGCATTATCCTTATCTGCTGTCCCCCCCCCCTGCAGTTTTCACAATTGCTGTGAAAGCCCCAGGTACATATTTGAGTGGAGAAATGTAACATGATATACCTGATAAAATAATTTTTATTCAGGAGCGATAATGTGGCAGAAGTGGCTGGAGGGATGCATATCGAAACTAGCCCATCACACACCGTATTTTTCGCTCTATAAGACGCACCAGACCGCAAGACACACCTAGTTTTTGGAGGAGGAAAACAAGAAAAAATATATTCTGAATCTCAGAAGCCAGAATAGCAAGAGGGATCGCTGCGCAGTGAAAACAGCAATCCCTCTTGCTGTTCTGGCTTCTGTGATAGCTGCGCAGCCTGCATTCGCTCCATAAGACACACACACATTTCCCCTTACTTTTTAGGAGGGAAAAAGTGAGTCTTATAGAGAAAAAAATACGGTACCTCCTTTGCTTATCAGTTTGAAGAGAGATGGGTTTGAAGGGCAAAGAACTGCTGATTGATTTACTTTATGGATCAGGTTCTGAGGCTGAGACAGTAAATGCTTCTGACACCAGGGGAGCCCATGGATAAGCAGGCATTTGAGCTCTTTTCTCCTGGGGCCAAATGGAAATCTCTGTCCACACTTCTCTCCCCTGCCCTCTTGTGTCTTCCATTGGATGGTCTTCCCCAGCTTGTGGCCTTCCAGCTATTGTTGGACTCCCAACTTCTGTCAATCTCAGCCAGCATGGTTAATGGAGTGTCAAAGTTTCCACATACCTGCTGTAGAGTGTCTTGTACTAGAATAAGTAAAGTGTGTTCCAGAATGGAACTTTGTGAAGGACAGCATCCCCACTTCTCCAACAGAATATGCTCATTTCAAACAGTGTCTTCATCTCAAATGAACGAGCGGCACCCCCTTTTTTGGGAACTGGTGGATGAAGCTCAAAACAATCTAAAACAGGGGTTCTTAAGCATCTAGCATTGGATTGTGTCTGGTGTCTTTTAAGATAATCTGGTAAATGACCAAAAACATAAAGGGTAGAGTGTAGCTCTAATCTAGATTTGTAGGCACGGTTTTAATTTCAGAATTTGCATTTTGGGGGATTATATAGCGGGTGGCACTGTGGGTTAAACCACAGAGCCTAGAACTTGCTGATCAGAAGGTCGGCGGTTTGAATCTCCACAATGGGGTGAGCTCCAGTTGCTCGGTCCCTGCTCCTGCCAACCTAGCAGTTCGAAAGCACGTCAAAGTGCAAGTAGATAAATAGGTACCGCTCCGGCGGGAAGGTAAACGGTGTTTCCGTGCGCTGCTCTGGTTCGACAGAAGCGGCTTAGTCATGCTGGCCACATGACTCTGGCTCCCTCGGCCAGTAAAGTGAGATGAGCGCTGCAACCCTAGAGTCGGCCATGACTGGACCTAATGGTCAGGGGTCCCTTTACCTTTATATTTGTATCTTCTACAGTGCTTTGATGGCTTCAGGCTAAATAAAAATTAACTGTGAAACTTTTCTTTTGCAGTTCAAGTGTTGGAAGATGACAGGATACAGATTCTGCAGTCCATTACAACGGCAGAGGCACAGGTAAGCATAGAATGCATGTGAGAGGATAAATATAGGCATATATATTTTTTCTGAGCATGGAGCTGCCTCCTAAGAACTATACTACTTTCAGGGTGTAAGGCTAGCTCATTTGAATGCTCCTATGTGCTTTTAAGCAAGAAGCAAACTAATGCAATAGGTTGGCTAGCCTTGTGGACAAGCTTCCTTCCCATCTCCTTGATGTATCATGTGCAGAGATTTTCTCTTTCAATGGGGAAGCGTTTGGAATGTTGTCCCCCCCCCTATTTGTATCCTGTAGTGGTACATTCCAGAGCGGCCTTTCCTAACCTGTGGCCCTTCAGATGTTGCCAGACCACAATTCTCATTATTCCTGAGTTAGGAATGAAGGGGAAATTAAACCCAGTTCACATTTAAAGCCGGATCTGTCCAATTCACACTTTCTGAAGCAGTGTGTGAACCAAAACGCAGTTATCCTTCGAAATTCACACTTATCCAAAGTTTGTGATGTAGTTCCCCAACCAAACAATGTTTTACAGAAATACATAGACTGGGGGAAGGTGTGTGTAAAAATGAATATGTTAGTGAAATAACAAAGAAAAAGACACGATATTAAGGGAAATTGCTTGCAAAAATGTGTAAGTTAGTCAAACCTTCATATAAAAATGTGTTTATTAGGAGAAAGTCATACTAAGATTTTGATAAATTTTCATGAGGGTTTTTTTTTAATAATAAAAAAATCAAATTGGTGCCAAATGGGGACAATTTTAGAGTAGAAAAATGAGAATCTGAGACAACTGGAAATGTTGTCTACCCCTACTCCTGACCATTGGCTTTGCTGGCTAGGGCTGATGGAAGAGCCTCTCCTCTTGCAAAGAGGGGAGGGGTTGTGGGCGGGACCCGATGTCTGCCTCATGCCCCCTGCTCCCCCCACTCACCTGGCTGGCGCACCTCGCCCACAGGTAAGCCCCCAATCAGGTGGCTTGGAGGGGGCGGGGTTTGCAGCTCAACTTGCTGCTGCGCCAGCCATGCGGCCTCATTTTCCACCTTCCCGTCGCGAGTCACCCACCCTCCACTCCCTTAGAGCTCAGGGTTTTGGTTTTTTCTCTTGGCCTTGCTATGGACCTTAGGTTGGTTGCCCAGGTTGTCCGGGGGGCCTGGTAGGAATTTTTCCATTTGGCATTAGGCCTTGTGGTTTTTTCGCCAACCTTGTAGCAATCGTCACAACTTTCTTGGTATTGGTGGGTAGGTTAGGCATTGGAATGTGTTTGTGGTGTGTGGAAGGGCTAGGTGTGGCCATCGCCTACGCCTTCAATTTTGGGTATTCCGTTAAAGGAATCTGGCGGTCGTGGATCCTGTCCGATGCCTGTGTGGCGGGGGGCCATGGCACGACCCTCGGTGACATCAGGGGAGAGCTTATAGTTGGATTAGCATCAACAGGCTCCACCTACTGGTGAATAAACCCCCTTTTTAGACTCACCCCTCTCTGAGTGGGTGGAGTCAATTGTCGTAATCCAATGCCTAAGCCAATACCTTTTCACTTGCTGTAATCAATAAAGTTGTGGCCTTTTCTTGCCCATTAACCTTATATTACGTGTCCGTGTGTCTTCATTTCACTAAGCGGGGATCGGGTCCTCGAACCACAATTGGCATCTGATGGGCCAGAGTTTTCACCATAGATGTCAACTTTTTCCTTTTCTTGTGAGGAATCCTATTCGCAATAAAGGAATTTCCCTTAAAAAAAGGAAAACGTTGACAGCTATGGTTTTCACATACTTGCCGTATATCCTCTATTTTTGCCAGGGCACCATGCTGGAGAAGGCTAGACTGGTAGACACATGCCTTTTTTCTGAACTGACTCAGCATTTTCACAAATGGTTGCATTCCCAGTGTTTCCCTTTCTCTCTTTACAGGGGCACACATTTAAAAAGACAGTGCTGTTCATCTACATTAGCGGCAATGTGGCATTTCTCATCACCTTCCTGACAGCAATTGTAAAAGTATGACAAAGAGGAAGCCTTTAATACTCCAAAGAGCTTGCAATAGAACTGTTGAAGACGTGTCTTGCTGAAGTTCATAGCAGAAGGACGATCTGTAACGTAAACACTGCCAATTCGGGATTTAAGAAACCTCATATAAACCTGGTCCTCGTTATACAGCCGATGCAGGGCAGAATTAGACTTTTCTTGGCAAATACGTTGTCCCAACCTGGTCAGAACTGCCTTGGTCTCCAGCATGACTAAACGCCTCCCTTCAACATTTGTCTATCTGGATCCTGTAGATTCATTGGTCACTTCAAGGCTCAAGGGAGAGCTTCCATTTGAGAAGTTGGCCTTTCTTGTTCCAGGGTTGCCATTGATTTGAACTGGACTGCCTACCATTGCACTTGATCAGCTGTCCGTCCGTCCATCTAATAGGTCAATGTGTTCATGTTATTCCTAGCTAGTCTCCACCTGCAACCACCACCATTATGCCATAGGAGCTCCATATGCTCATGGTCTATCTATAGGCTAGCTAGAGGATGGTTAAAGGTCTACACATCCCTCTCCCCAGCCTGCTTCTAACCTGAGGATGGATGCAGATAGTCATTGTCTCAGTGTGATGAAGAATAATGGTCTACCACTAAAGGCTGGATTACAGACTGTAAGACATTAGTTTTTAAGGATGCCTCATCCATAGGGATTTCAGCAGTTATATTTGGAAACAATTTTGTGAGTCGAGAGGGAACGAGAATGAAAGCCAGTTAGGGGCCAGATATCGTTTGGAACAACTTATTTCAGGCATCGGAGATCCCAAGGACTGTGTTTGACACAAAGGTCTTGGATTTGTAGCTCTGTTGGAAGACTATATGGTGTTAAGGGTGGGGGGGGAAACAGCTCTGGTGGAGATCTAACTGCCCTTTCTCCTTTGAAGCAACCAGTGTTCTTGTAGATTACATCTCTCTCCTCACTCTGAGTTTCTTTAACAGGTAACTAGTAGCTGTACCAGAAAGCTCTCTAGAACTAGTGTCAACATTTGTTTAAAGAATGATTGGCACACACATATATATAAATGTGTGTGTGTGTATGAAAAAAACTGTCAACCTGCAGTCTCTAGGTGAAATCCATTGGATGTCACTGCAAACAGCTGCAGAGGCAGGTGGGTGATTTTTTGACAATGCATCACATTCCTACTCTAGATGGTGTGGGTCCCTCAAGAATAGCATGGAAGATGCTGCCGGTGGGAGGTAGAGGTGCAGGATGAGCAAAAAGAATCTGTCCTCATCCATTTGCAAAGGCTACTGCTAGATGAAAAGCTCTTCCCACGGGCAAAAGGATGCAATTGGATTCCACCCATTGTGGTTCATGTTGCCTTCCACACTGGATTGAAATAACTGGATTTCTTACTCCCTGTCCTCTTGACCCTTTCCTTGCTTTCCCTACCTGCTACACCCTGCACAAATCAAGTGTGAGACCATCTGCACTGATTTTATACTTGTGCATTACATTCCAGTGCTTCATTTTTTTATCTTATTATGAAAGTGTGAATTGCATAAATTAAAAGAGTTGCTTTGTGTACTCTGTGTACTTTTTTCTCGATACTTATATGAAGAAGCCATCTCAGTTTGTCCAGAGGCAAGTGCCATCCACACATGGACTTGTATTTTCAGGTGTCCCTGAATCACTGTCTGAAAGTTAATGAAATGGGCAATTAAAGAGAACCCCTGGCCTCTTGCCATAACTATATGTATTACTTATGCATTGAAGCAGGCTAATCTGCTTGCCAAATCTCTCTCTCTCTCTCTCTCGTTGTCTTTGACCTGTTTGTAGGGAAGATGCAGTCTTGCTGCACTTGACATTTTCATATAAAACTCTTGGATACACAGCCGAGCCACTGGGACTGTCACTTCTACTGCAGAGACACTGTGGGGTGCTCTTGCTCAGAGTTTAATCATGGTTAAGTTTAAACGATTGCCAACTCAAAGAAATGAAACAGCCCACAAGCACAAATCTCAATCTTTATCAGAATAGAAATCTGTGCTGTCAAAGCACAATGCCCAAACAAAATTTCAACTATTTTAAATATTTTTTGTATGCATACTTCAGCCTGTTGTCTCCAGAAATTCTCCAAACCAGCAAGTCTTGCCCATTCTGTTCTCTGTCCTGTTTGTGGCCCAGGCTGAGTTCTTGTGCAGCAGATAGCTATAACCTGAAGCAGAGAACTTTCCTTCTAGCAAATCCTTATGCTGGAGCATGATTTGTTGTGATTTTTTTCTTAACTTCTTGAGAACTTTGGCCATGTAGACTTCTACCCGCCTGAAAATGTGTTTAGCAGAGGCGCTGGAGGAAAAATGGTCACAGTGGGGCAGGGAAGCTCTGTCTAATCTGAAGTGGCTAACGGCACAATCCTAACCATGACTATGCAGCAGTAAATCCTATTGAATGCAATGGGGCTTATTCCTAGGTCAGTGGGAGTCTGTAACTATGGAGTGGAAAAGTGACAGATGGATATAAGCATAAGATGGTGAAAAGAAACACCTAAACCCTGCTTGTTGGTCTCTCTCCCACCCACCCCATAACAGACTTTTGACCTCCCCCCGCCCCAATTCTGAATGGGGAAATGCGATGGGGTTGACACAATGCAGGATGCATTGAGTATGAGTGCATTAGCAGAGAGTGGCAGCGCTTTCCATCTCTAGTAGGGTTTTACATATGCATGATGCCTTCACTTTTGAAGCTGCAAACACACTTGGGCAAGTACTGTTAACCATATAAATATCTTTCTAAAGTCTCTGCTCTTGCCATTTCCGTGGTCCACAGCTGGCAGGCTGGTGATAGGGGGCCAGGTGGGATTGTACATAGGTAAAGTTAAAGGGGACCCCTGACCATTAGGTCCAGTTGTGGCCGACTCTGGGGTAGTGGTGCTCATCTCGCTTTATTGGCCGAGGGAGCCGGCATACAGCTTCTGGGTCATGTGGCCATTCAAGACTAAGCCACTTCTGGCGAACCAGAGCAGCGCATGGAAACGCCGTTTACTTTCCGCCGGAGCGGTACTATTTATCTACTTGCACTTTGATGTGCTTTCGAACTGCTAGGTTGGCAGGAGCAGGGACTGAGCAACGGGAGTCCAACCCCGTTTGCAGGGATTTGAACCGCCGACCTTCTGATCGGCAAGTCTAGTCTGTGGTTAACCCACAGCGCCACCCGTGTCCGGGATTGTACATAGGTAAGGTACCCTGCCACTAGGGCCATCTTGTCAGACTTGGGTTTGTGGTATTCCCTGCGAGTTTCGCAGACACTTCGGGTAAAGGGAATCGCTGCTCTGGCGAGCCTGCACCAGCGCAGCACACGGAACGCCGTTTACCTTCCCGCTATAAAGCGGTACCTATTTATCTACTTGCACTTTAAGGGTGCTTTTGAACTGCTAGGTGGGCAGGAGCTGGGACCGAAAGATGGGAGCTCACTCCGCTGCGGGGATTCGAACCGCCAACCATACGATCAGCAAGTCCTAGGCACTGTGGTTTTACCCACAGCGCCACCCGCGTCCCCTGGGATTGTACATAGGTCAAGGCTATTTGTAGTTCAGAGAACTGGCCCTGCCACTGTCAGAAGTAGAAATCTATCTTCCGGCACCCCTAGTCGCCCTGTGGGAGATGAAAGAGGCCTGACAAAAGCTGTTGGTTAGAGTATGTAGTTCACCCTGCCAGGAGTTTCCTTAACAAGAACCAAAAGAACACATGGAGATAATCTCTAGGGAAGATGGTGAGTTTGGGTAGTAGTAAACATCCTGACCTGCCCACCTAGCAGTTCGAAAGCACTCTTAAGTGCAAGAGATAAATAGGTACGCTTTTATAGGGAAGGAAACGGCGTTTCCGTGTTGCTGCTCTGGTGCTGGCTCGCAGACAAGCTTCGTCACGTGGCCAACGTAACCGGAAGTGTCTTCGGACGGCGCTGGCTCCCGGCCTCTTGAAGTGAGTGAGCACACAACCCTGGAGTCGGACAAACTGGCCCATACGGGCAAGGGTACTTTACCTTTAACATCCTGAAGTGTCCAGTAGTCCCACTTCAGATCCCGTGATTTATGGGAATGTAACAAATCATGAGCTGTGACACTCCATCCCACAATGGGTAAGAATAGGAAGATATATTCTTGCTTGTGTGGTTGGGGCTTAGAGAATGATCTGATAGGAAACAGCCAACCCGCACTCAATAAATGGGGACTCTTAGGGTGCAGCCTTGTTAAGATACTGGCTCTTAGCTTCCAATTACATAGTCATAGCATTTATTAGAAATGTCCATTTGTTATCAGAAATTTTTGAAGGCACTTGAAGTTAAATTCATATGGATTGGGTTGAGTAGCTGGAAGCACAACTTGCGGTCCATTCACTTTCCTGCAGGGTGCCATTATTCTTATGTATACTTCTTTCGAATAGGCGAAAGCCGTCAAAGTCCGAAATGGAGAAAGCTCTTCTTCTGCTTCACATCACACCAGCAGATACTTAGTATTTATACCACTGCAGCTCCTAAATGACTTTTTTGCCCAGTTTTGCCATTCTCATTCTCAGAGCTGCAACATAAATAAATAAAAAAGTCACAAATTCCATGCGTTATCCCACTTCTAAATCTAACTTTTAAAGAGAATTGCACTTACCTCAAATGGTTAGGTCCAAGAGAGCATTGTGTTAGTAGAGTTAAAAATCAGAAGTTATTAGTGTGCAGAGAGACAACAGCATAGGTGGCAGGTGAAAGAAGAATGGGCACTAAAACCTCTTGCACGGCTGTCAAAGTGGTCATTGATCTGCCCTCTAACCTGCTGGACATTTGACAGTAAACAATATGCCTTTTAATTTCTCAGTTGAGAATTCTCTTCACTCTGAATGCAGTGCGCCCCTGCCACTGGTTTGGGAAGTGATGTATGCACAATGCTAGATTGATATGTATATTGCCGTTTCTTATGAAATACTGGCATTTTAAGGCATTTGCCCACCAAGCCAACTTCATTCCAAGTCAAGAAAAGAGTGACCTTGCTGTGTTTTTTAAGCCACGAAATGTTTCATACAGCCTTTGTTCACTACATGTTGGGTCTTGTAGGATCTACTTTAATAAAAAAATCAAAACTCCACAGTCTAGAACCAAAATCAGGTGCAAGGAGTTGGGTTTGAAAATGTTTAAAGGCTAGAAACTTCATGGACTGAACTGCAGGAGGTGTCACCATTTCCATTCTGGCCTGTTGACACTTGTGCCTTTTTCCTTAGAATAGAATCATAGAATCATAGAGTTGGAATAGACCACAAGGGCCATTCGAGTCCAACCCCCTGCCAAGCAGGAAACACCATCAGAGCACTCCTGACATATGGTTGTCAAGCCTCTGCTTAAAGACCTCCAAAGGAGGAGACTCCACCACACTCCTTGGCAGCAAATTCCACTGTTGAACAGCTCTTACTGTCAGGAAGTTCTTCCTAATGTTTAGGTGGAATCTTCTTTCTTGTAGTTTGGATCCATTGCTCCGTGTCCGCTTCTCTGGAGCAGCAGAAAACAACCTTTCTCCCTCCTCTATATGACATCCTTTTATATATTTGAACATGGCTATCATATCACCCCTTAACCTCCTCTTCTCCAGGCTAAACATGCCCAGCTCCCTTAGCCGTTCCTCATAAGGCATCGTTTCCAGGCCTTTGACCATTTTGGTTGCCCTCCTCTGGACACGTTCCAGTTTGTCAGTGTCCTTCTTGAACTGCGGTGCCCAGAACTGGACACAGTACTCCAGGTGAGGTCTGACCAGAGCAGAATCCTTGGTTCGAAACTCTTATCCCTCCCCCCACCCCACAGGGTTACAAAGGCTGCCCCTTTTTGTTGTTTAGATTTTTAAGCGCTCTCCTCCTCCAATGCGAAAGGCATCGAGGAATGCTTCTTTGGACTACTGGGCCTTCCCCTGACATGGCACGGTGACACTGACTTCAGGGCTTTTCGTAAGATGGGTTTTGACAAGGAACAAGTAGATAAAAGAGATCTGAGAACGCCTCTATTCCCCTCTCACAAGCAGCTCTTTGTTTGTTTGCTACCTTGCCCTACAGCTGGTCTTCCTGGCTTTGTTTTCTTTGGGGGGCAAGCAGGATAATTAGGAGACTGTTTGGGAAAATTACTCATTTCCTAGCATTCTCCGCTTACTCCGTATGTGGCGGGGCACAGTAACAATGCATGGGAAAAGGACCAAAGCAGCAAGAAGAACTACTTGGCTTCAGCAGTGGGGACAAGTTCTGCAGTCAGGGAACAGTGTGCTCCAGGCTACCTTAGATTAATATGAATTCCATTATTCTGCTATGGAACTCATATTTGGAGGGGTACTATTGGCAGGTGGTGAGCGCCTGAGCTGAATGTGCTGCAATGCGTTCCAAAATTTTAACACGAAGAGATCACGAAAAGCTGGCTCTGTAAATGCCATTTAAGCTGGAAGACATAAAACAGGCAGGACTCATGACCCCATAACACAACACGATGTCATGTATGGTGGCTCATCTGTGGCTTGATTACTGTTCTGTTTTTGTCAACTGCCTTGAAAACAAAGATGGAGCGAAGAGGGGGAAGTTTGTAAAACAGATCGGCAGGCTTCAATACATGTGCAGGCCTGCCGAAGTTCAAAGCCCATTGAAATAAATCTGTTGGGTGCTAAATCCATTTATATTGAAGTGGCGCTGTGGGTTAAACCACAGAGCCTAGGGCTTGCCGATCAGAAGGTCGGCGGTTCGATTCCCCGCAATGGGGTGAGCTCCCGTTGTTCGGTCCCTGCTCCTGCCAACCTAGCAGTTCGAAAGCACCTCAAAGTGCAAGTAGATAAATAGGTACCGCTCTGGCGGGAAGGTAAACGGCGTTTCCGTGCGCTGCTCTGGTTCGCCAGAAGTGGCTTAGTCATGCTGGCCACATGACCCGGAAGCTGTCTGCGGACAAACGCCGGCACTCTCGGCCTATAGAGTGAGATGAGCGCGCAACCCCAGAGTCGGTCACGACTGGACCTAATGGTCAGGGGTCCCTTTACCTTTACCTTTATACTTTTCTTATTTTTGTTAGTGGGATCTCCTTTGTGCAACTGCATGCATATTCACAGTATTAGTCCTAAATTAAGTCAATAGATGTAAACTGTTATAAATCCAAATAATTCAGCTTTACTTCTTTGGGGGATCAGGCCTATATGTTGCAGTCCACGTTGGGTGAACGCAGTCCTTTATTCCCCCAACAGAACTATTACCAGAAGTTTGAAGTACTTGGATTTGAGGCTGTTGTGTTCTAAGAAGCATACAGAATACAAAAAGCTTCTAGCAAGGAGGAGAGTGAAAGCAGAGTGAAAGCAATCATGCAAACAGGTTAGAAAATGTAACACCTTTTTATTTTAAGGAAGACAGACAGACAGAGGTTAGACAAAAGAATTGGATTTTAGTCATACTTACTATTTTTTAAAAAAAACCAAACAAACCCACATACATCCAAATCAAGCAGGCTAAGAAAAGATATCAAAACTTGCATAAATACATTTCAAGTCAAGTGGCCAATGTTAAATCAAGGTTAAAGTAAAGCAAACCTGTTCAACCAACCTTTCAGTGTTAAGGTGCAAGGTACATTATACAGTACAAAGTCGGGAGAACAGAGAGAGGCAGGACTGAGCTCCAGAAATGGAGACGCAGAATGGGAAGAAAGGCTATTATTTACTACTGAAATGCAACCATTTTTCTCACATGCCACAGGACCAAGGAGATAACATTTTAATCAGTGTTTCCAAGTTGCACTTGACGTACAAATATCTGTATCTGATTTATACCAGCCCTATCTGCAGCTTAAATTTTTTTTTTTTGCTGCATTGTGCACTTAGGTTCTTCAGTGTAGCATGGTTAACATTGTTAACACTTGAATGAAAGTGTTAGAACATAGGAGAAATGGGTTAGATAGTCTGTATTAGTCAGCTCTGAGGTGTAGAGACGCCAAGAGGAAGCAAGGAAGGAATGAAGGGAGAAAGAGAAGTAGTCAGTCTGTCACATGAGAGCGCAACAGTGTCGCGACTTGCCCCTTTTTTTACCTGTTAAGGAGGGATCCTCTGTTCCATCACCTGATAACCGGCCATCGATCTGACCATTGTAGGTAGCACAGCTTAGACTTTCTTCTTGCTCCTTGAGCGATATGGAATTTTTATAAGGTGACACATTTACACCGTCACTGGTGGTTTTGCTGGGGTTTGTCTGTGGAATTGCACTTGTTTGGTTGGAGGTCTGGTAGACCTGGCTAGAAGGACCAACTGGATGATACAAAGGCTTTCCAGCTCGACTCTCCTCCTTGCTGCCCTCTTCTTCGCCGTCATCGTCAATGACGACGAGTTCTGCATGGATAAGTCCATCATACCCACAGACAGTTTTATTCAGTTCTTCATCATCCACATGCTGGTAACCCATGAAAATCATTGTAACGGGTTCGGTATCATCGACGTAACACGGCACAGCTTGGACCACACTATAACTAGAACCTTCATCACTTTCCAGAGTTCCTGAAGGAGGCCTTTCATGGGTACTTACAGAGTTTCTGAATTTTATACCTTGTTGGTTCTCTCCCATCTTCTGATAGGGTTCAACAGCCTCTTGTAGAATTTCTCTTTGAACGTTAGTTGCCATCTTGTTTGGGGGGCTAATCTGTGGTGGGCTTCGTGTTCGTTGAAGGACCGGAGAGTGAGAATTGTGCCGATAGCTCTTGGAAGAATCTAGGCCATTTTCTTTAAATGGTTGCTCTTTTTTATAGGCAGGTTCCTTATAAAAACAGTCCAGGCTGTTTGTCTTGTTTTGAAGAGCTCCTTTTTGGCTATTTGGTCCCTGGACTAACTTATCATTCTGGGGAGTTGTGGGCCTGCAAAACTGGTTTGCATATACTGGTTCGTGATATTCAGTGGGAGACTTGGATTGTTTCTCTGTTGCCTGCCTCAAGAGGTCCTCCACTTCAACAGGCGCAAGGTCATCTACTTCCTTGTTTGTGACACTTCCATTGGAACACACTGCATAGACCGACTTTCTGCCGTCATCGTACACTTTCACTCCTGCGCCCTTAAATTCCTCTGACGGTAGTGGTATTGTCGACAAAACTGTGCTTTCTCCAGTCTTCAGGTCTTTTTCAACTTTAATTTCCATAGCGAACAATGCTGCAACGGAAGAAATAAGAGTCCTTTATAAAGCAAAGTAACACAAGTGCTAAAGATATATACAAATGTCAATAATACAATAAATTAGGGCTCTTTGCAGACGACCTAATGGTCAAACACCAGACCCCATAAACACAGCAACCTCCCTAATCAGAAAACTCAACACATTTGCAATGGTGTCGGGCCTACAGGTAAACTTTGCAAAGTCTGAGGCTGTGTGCCCCATACCCAAAAAGAATTCGCCAACATCACCAAGATAAAACTTTGCCGCACCAAGTTCAGATACCTAGGGGTACAAATAAGCAGAAACCTCAACAAATTGTACCTCCACAACTACAACCCCTTGTGGCGACAAATCAACAAAGACCTGAAGAGATGAAACAACACCAACTTCACTCTCTCAGACAAATGTTAATAATAATAATAATAATAATAATAATAATAATAATAATACAGTGGTACCTCAGGTTAAGTACTTAATTCGTTCCGGAGGTCCGTTCTTAACCTGAAACTGTTCTTAACCTGAAGCACCACTTTAGCTAATGGGGCCTCCTGCTGCTGCTGCGCCGCCGGAGCACGATTTCTGTCTCATCCTGAAGCGAAGTTCTTAACCAGAGGTACTATTTCTGGGTTAGCGGAGTCTGTAACCTGAAGCGTATGTAACCTGAAGCGTATGTAACCCAAGGTACCACTGTAAAAATATTATGCTAGGTCACAAGAACTTGCACATGACAGCAGCAGGTGGTTATTTTAGAACATGGGGCACCAGCAGTTTCCTGTGGAACGTGTCGAATAATTTCAAGCAATGCATGCAGGGTGTGATATATTCTTCTCCAGCTGCTATTTTTCTTACTTGTAATGCTCTCCCTGCAACTGTTTTTCTCCTGGTGGAGCTCGAAGACTGGAGGCAAGCCCCGCTGCCCTTAAAAGCACCTGGGAAGTGTGTTTTGGAGTAGGGAAAGTGCAGGCACGAAGACTGAGCACATCTTTTCTATCCCTTATATTGTTTCTTGTCTGGTTTCAATCACCCTGAGCCTACCCTATGTAAGTCCAGCACAACCCATGCTCCAGGAAATGGCTTTTGCCACTGTCATATGTAGTTAGCCTCTGTGATAACTGGGGTCACAGATGGCTGGAGAAAGACATCAGATATCTTAGGATCCACTGGCAGAATACACTGCTACTTGGGAGGAGATTTTGAGCCCAATGGATTGGAGGCGCTAAGGAGGAGTTCACGAGCAATACGGAGAGCTTTCCATCTCCCTTTTCCAGCCTCCTCCCTATCTTTTCCTCGCTGGTTTGAGCTATATGTCGTCTGTCCTTTAAAGACTAGAGAGGCAGCTCTTGGTCTTACTGTTTGGCTACCTGCAATGGTTTAAAGCAAGGGTGGGGTGTGGAATGGAGGTCCACACAAACAGCTGCTGTAATACTGTGGGAGAAAAGCAACGACAAACCTAGACAGCATCTTAAAAAGTAGAGACCTCACCTTGCCAAGAAAGGTCCGTATAGTAAAAGCTATGGTTTTCCCAGTAGTGATGTATGGAAGTGAAAGCTGGACCATAAAGAAGGCTGATCGCCGAAGAATTGATGCTTTTGAATTATGGTGCTGGAGGAGACTCTTGAGAGTCCCATGGACTGCAGGAAGATCAAACCTATCCATTCTTAAGGAAATCAGCCCTGAGTGCTCACTGGAAGGACAGATCCTGAAGCTGAGGCTCCAAAACTTCGGCCACCTCATGAGAAGAGAAGACTCCTTGGAAAAGACCCTGATGTTGGGAAAGATGGAGGGCACAAGGAGAAGGGGACGACAGAGGACAAGATGGCTGGATAGTGTTCTCGAAGCTACCAGCATGAGTCTGACCAAACTGTGGGAGGCAGTGGAAGACAGAAGTGCCTGGCGTGCTCTGGTCCATGGGGTCACGAAGAGTCGGACACGACTAAATGACTAAACAACAACCATTTCCCTCTCTGCGAAATGCCAGAACAGGTTGGTGGGTTATCTGTGTTCTGGTGGCAGTAGGGCTGAGCTTGTAAGTCAGTGTTACAAATAAATTCAAGACAGGAAGTCGTTCTACTAGCCTATCTGAGCACACGTGCACCTCTAGGGAATTGCCTGAAAAACAGAAGCACCAATTCCTCAGGAAGGACCAAAGCTCTGGGGTAGAGACTGTGCTTTGTATCCACTAGATCCCTGGCATCTCCAGGTTAGGGCAGGAAAAGACCAAAATGCTATTGGCAGTAGTGAAGATAATGCTGAACTAGATGAATCGGTCATCTGATTTGGTTTAAGGCAGCTGGGCTAGATAGGCCTCTGGCGTGATTCAGCAAGACTCTTATTTTTTTAAGCAGTCCTGCTGAAGAGCAAGAGCTTGTCACACCCATGGCAACGAGTAAGCAGAGCCGAGACAACAATTTCCATTCCTGCTACTGGGATAACGGGCAAGTTTGATATAGCACAATAAAGTTAAGGTAGACAATGACACTCATTGGACCTCATGTTCTTTTGCCAACTTGCAAGGTTTGAGGAAACAAAAGGAGCGATTAAGGGAACATCTTTCAGCTTGTCATTTTGGCTCTCGCTAAAGATCAGCCATGGGGTTGAGCTTGAATTTCTGTGTCGGTATCTGGAAGGCACTGGTTTGCGTTCAGTCTTTGCCAATGCTCTAGGGCAAGCTCTGGGCGTTTCAAAATGTTTGCTAATTAAGAATCTGCCCATCCTCTCCTTTCAGCATTTGAGATATTCGGGAACATGGAACAGATATAGCTAGCAGTATTCTGGAAACAAGGTGTCTTTTTGACAAGGAAGAATAGTGTGATCACCATCACACTCTTTACTTGGCAAACGAAGCACAGGCAAAACTCATGCAAAACAAAATAGAACAAACAAAACAACATTGTGTGTAGCCAGTGCCACACATCCTCAAATATATGCAGTGGTACATTGGGTTAAGTACTTAATTTGTTCCGGAGGTCTGTTCTTAACCTGAAACTGTTCTTAACCTGAAGCACCACTTTAGCTAATGGGGCCTCTTGCTGCTGCCATGCCACCACTGCATGATTTTTGTTCTCATCCTGAAGTAAAGTTCTTAACCGGAGGTACTATTTCTGGGATAGCGGAGTCTGTAACCTGAAGCGTAAGTAACCTGAAGCGTATGTAACCCAAGGTACCACTGTATATATCTTATGAGAAAAGTCTGTTTAGAAGTTTAGTCAAATGCATCAAACCCTGGAGAGCACTACAGGTCGAAGTAGACAATACTGAGCTACATGGACTAGAAAAAAAAAGATTTGTGTCTCTCTCTGTGTTCTATCATCTATCTATCTATCTATCTATCTATCTATCTATCTATCTATCTATCATCTATCTATCTATCTATCTATCTATCTATCTATCATCTATCATCTATCTAATCTATGCATACTTATTTATTTCAAATACACATTTCATTTCCTTTTAGATGTACCCCATTATAAATCTACACCCTTTCTTTAACTGCATTGCTGAATTTTACCTTTTCGCTTTTCTTCATCCTCCTCTGCTTCTAGATGCCCTGTCCTTTTAAGTGCAGAAGGCCTGAAAGATTTTGGAAGGTCAGGTATGTTGGCATAAATGTAGTCAGGTGGCTCTGTGAAAAGAGAGAATGGTTAATACATAACCATTTTTACCTCTAACGTTAGTCACAAATAATGTAAAATTCAGGGCTTCTGAGTGAACATACCTTCTTTAGTCTCTACTTTTTCCACCTTCACAGACTGAGAAAAAAGAAGAAGCAAGTATTGTGAATAACCACCAGTAGGTGAGTCACAGCTTGTCAACCACAAAGCTACAGAATATGTAGCGGCAGTGGAATATATATGTGTGTATATGTCTATAAATCGCTACACCATATCCTCCATATATATAAAACATTTCCTCAGGGACCGCTTCTCTCCATATGAACCTTTCTGGTCCCTGAGATCATATTCTGAAGCCCTTCTTCATGTGCCTCCTCCACCAAAGGTCCAGAGTGTGGCAACACAAGACTTGGCCTTTTCTGCAGTGGCCCCCTGACTGTGGAAGTCTCTCCCCTGGGAGACTTGCCTGGTCCCTTTGTTACATATCTTTAGGTCCCATGCAAAAACATTCCTCTTTAACCAGGCCTTTGGTTAATTGACAACTGATGCCCTTTTATAATGTGTTGGGGAGGGGTGATAATTGGGTTGTTTTTGTCTTTATTTTTATTATGTATTTTTTGTGATTTTATCTTGTGAATGGCCCTGAAACCTGTGGGTATAGGACTGTATACAAATTTAATAAACATCAAAAAGAAAAATAATTTTGCTGGGTTATTAGTTAAGGTATTTTACCTTCCTATGAGGCATATGCAATTGGTCAATATATTTGTCATTCCTGGGTGTGATGGCAACTGTTCTTGCAAGATAACTTTTCGTCTATGACTTTCTCTGCTTTGCCACATCTTCAATTAGACCACTCTGGGGCAATGGATGGCAGAAGCTTCTCTCTACAAAAGTGATTGCATAATACCCCTTTGGGCCTATTTGACTTTCAGGACACGTTGGCAAGCTTGCGTGTTTGTTCAGTCTTTGACTGAAGGGTGAATAAACATAGAGAGCATTTTTCCTCTCTGAGTTTAGGCTCCCCCCTCCCTCCATATGTTCTTGATACTCTGCCAACGTAGATATACAGTCAACAGTTAACCCTGAGCTATTTTTAATGCTAAAATAATGCTGTAGTTGAGAGCACAAAGTGCAAATATTCCAATACTAGGATTAGGGTATAAATGTGATGCAACATTTCCTGCGGCAATCGCGACATAACATATCTCGATAAATCTGCATGTTTTGGAGGGGCTTGACCACTGTGAGTTTTAGTCGCTCCTATTTCCCCCTGCTGAACTTCACATTGGAGCTCTGTGACATTTCCTTGCCTTCATCCCTACCTCCCCCTCAATTGATTATTTTTGCAAAGCGACAGAGATTACATCAGTAGCAGGACTTTAAAATTAGACACTGACCTTTATAATATCTTCTGTGGTTCTTTCTACCGATTTAAGCTTCTTCAGTATGGCCTTTTCTTTAGCTGAGATGGCCAGTTCTTCTTTCTCAAGGTCCTCAATTTCTTTTTCAAGTCTGCATTATGTACAATATTTGGAGAAGCAATGGTTAATGGTGCCAACTGCAATAAAGAGAAAACATACTACGTACCACCTAATCTCCGACAGTGCAACAATGGTTTTATTTCGAGCCCATCATTACCCCTATTTCTGATGTTCAGGCACTAGAGGGAGGTCTCTGCAGGTCTGAGGGAATCTAAGGTTTGGTAAAGCTACGGAAAAATCTCCAAAAATATCCCCACGAGGACTGACCATGCTCAGTGACCATTGAATACTGCAGAAAACTACTGTATATGGGAGGAGGAATGAAATGAAGTATCTTGGAGAATTGCACTGAAAAAGGAACATGACAGTCTGCTACATTTTGTTGTGGGTCACATCAGCTTGGTTAGATTAGTGACCCCCTAAGTGATAGATGTCAGAAAATTCTGAGGAAAATAGAAAAGGAAGCAGAAATCTCTGCAATTCGCATGGTTAGTCAGTGGAAACCAGGAACGGAAACCAATCAAACAAATATGATCAGCATTCAAGCATGTTGTTGTTTAATTCCACAAACAATATACAATAAGTGGCTTTTTTTAACATTGTTTTGTTGCTTCTCTTACATTGAAATGAATGAAAGTTACATTAGTTACCTAAATAGTTACATAACTTATGTAAAATAGCAGGACAGAGAGACAGATAACATAGTATATGACAGAAACCAAACTGCAGTGGAATGGAAACAGTGCTGTTTGTTATGAACGCAGTTTAGAATGGGATTTGCTGCCTTCTTTCATCCCTACTCAAAATGGGAGCTGGGATAATGAAGAGACAGGGCTGTCCTCCATTGCCAACTACTCAAATGGAGCGTCATCAAATGCAATTGCCTCACACTTTATTCCAGAGTTTCCCAAGCTTTTCATGTTGGTGACTCACTTTGCAGACATGCATCATTTGGCAACACGGTAATTCAGTTTTACTAGCAGACCGGAGGTTAAACTAACTCCTTTCTAGCCCCAGGAGAGCGGGGAGCATTTGCGTGACACACCTACCCACTGCAGCCAACACAATGTGTCGCACAACACAGTTTGGAAAGCTCTGCTCTTGTTTGTCCTGTGTAACACTGAATGGAGCAGTGTGGTGAGGGAGAGGGTTTTTCCATTTTGTATTTTGAACAGCATCTTTTTGTCGTGTTGGTACTTCATAAAAGTTGAATGTCAAGAACAATGTATTATTTCCAGGAGTTGCAGTTCACATTCTCTTGGAAATGGACAGAAATACTTTCACTCAGCTTGGGCATGAATACTTGTTTTTAGCAGCCAAATCAATCCGAAAATGGATGATTTGACAACGCTGCTTAAGAAAAAAAGAAGACGCACAGCATCGCCGGTGAGAAATAGTACTGAAGAGTTAGCAGTTATTCAGTCACGGTAAATGTGCCAACAGAGTAGAACAGGGCCTGATGCAATCAATACTGAGTAAAGTAGTATTTGCTTGTCCCTGTCCCCACCCCCCACCCCATGTAGCATCTAATTTGCTACATGATTATCTGTATCCAGGAGTTAACGGAATCTCTTTTGTCAGATAACCTTTGTGGTTTTGTACGGATGACATTTGGTTGGGAATCGGTTGGCATCTATTCCAACAAAAGCCAGGGTACTTCTTTTTTTTGCGTGTGTGTGGGGGGTATATGCATCAAAACAGACTTTCTGGGCATGACAACAATTTGGAGGAGTCCTGCGTGTGAAAGGTCAGAATAAAAATAATTAAAAAGGAAAGAGCTGGCAAACAAAGCAAATTATGTTTTAAAAGTCAATAATCTTTCATCCAGGCTGGGGTGAGGAGGGGAAACAGCACTACAAGAAGGGAGGTGGGTGGTGCCCCTCCCCATTGCCACGTAGAGGCCTCATCCAGGCCTAAATCTGTACATGTAAGAAAGGCAACACATGCTCACAACAGGTACACATCTTCTCTTGTTCGTATCATCTACCGGCCGCAAATTCCTGCCACGTATATATGTACACGCACAGGACTGAAAATGCATTGTGTAATGTGTGGGGCAACTCCAAATCACACCAGTGTCGGCCAATGTTGTTTTCAGCTCTGCCTACTGTTATGTGCTGAGCCTTGGATATGATTTGAGGTTTCTAAGGTGCTTGGCTTCTAAAGAATTCTTTTCTAAAGAATTTGCTGAGAAAGTTCTAATAAAACCACAGAGGATCTGAACAGGTGCTGCGGTGTGCTCCTTGGTAACAACATTACAGGGGTTTCTTTTGATGCTAATTCCACGCTCCAAATACTTCCTACTCACAGCATGTGGGGAACCAGTTTCCATGGTTGCTGAGAGACCTGTGTTGATTGCGAGGTGATTAGGGCACCTCAGGCAGAGAGGCACATTTCAGGCATGTAGACCAGGTAGTGCACTCAGGGGCATAGGAAGGGGGGTGCGGGGGTGCAGTGCGGACCACCCCGGGTGTTATCCTTGAGGGGGGGGTTTGACAATATGGCACAATGTGTGGGGCGGCACTTATAGCAGGGCCTGGCCTGCAGCGCCCCCAAGCCATGCATCTCTCCTGGGAGTGACGTGGTGGCTCAGGGCCCTGCGCTGACAGAAATGGCAGCATGGGGCTTGCATCAACCAGGTGGACTCCGTGGGCAGATTGCTGCTGCGCCCCTGTTCGGCGCCCCCATGTGCGGATTGCTGCAGGCCCCCCGCGGGCAGTTCGCCCTGCCACCGCCGCTCCCGGTGCCAGAAGAGCTAGCTACACCCCTGAGTGCACTTTAAAGTTGACTGAATGGAATATGGAAAATAACTACAGTGGATGCTTGGGTTGCAAACGTGATCCGTGTGGGATGCACGTTCGCAACCCACAGTGGCACATCTGTGCACATGCGGGTTGCGATTTGGTGCTTCTGCACATGCGCAAAGTGCAATGTAGAGCTTCTGCGCATGCGCAGCTGCTGAAACCTGGAAGTAACCCATTCCGGTACTTCTGGGTTTCGGCGGTCTGTAACCCGAAAAAGCGCAACCTGAAGCGTCTGTTACCTGAGGTATGACTGTACTTCTGCTGAATTTGAAACTAACCAAATTCTGTAGAAGAAAGAATTTTTTTTAAAAAAAAAATTTCAAATTCTTTACTTCAAGATTTGAGCTCTACTCTACCAATATGAATGTCAACACTTTGCGATACCAGCATTCATACTGAAGTAGGGGTGTTGCAACAGAGGGAATGCAAATATGTCGAAACAGTTTTGGCAACTTTGATTCCTTGGTTTATTATTGTTAGTTGAACATCAGAATTTTAAAAACTCTGTCCTATCCGAAATGTCACAGGAACATGGCAAGCTGCCTTATATTGAGTCAGAAATTGGCCCATGCAACTCTGCATTCTCTGTAATGACTAGGTGTGGTTCTACGGGATTTTAAGCAGTTGTTCTCAGTCCTACCTGAAGATACCAGGGACTGAAGTGCCATTTGAAATGTTAAAATGCTCAGTTGCTGCCAATTTTAAGTAATGATTTTTAAAAACATGGTGAAATCTCACCCACTTGCAGCATATCCAGAACATGATGTTTTTAAACAAGGTGTTTTTTGGGGAAAATTTTGGCTGTATTACTGAAACAGCAGAAGGCAAATAGCTGGCCCCAGAGACAATAATCCCCATTAAGAATAGAAAAGTGATCTGATCACATAGCTTTTAATAACCGAGCAATAAAAAGAAGAATTTGTGCTGTACCTGACGATATTTTGTTCCAGCTCATTCATCCGTTGTTGATCCTCTCGATTCTGGTTTTGCATTTCTTCTTGTTCTTTTGGAGTCAGAGTATTTAATCCATCCCAGAGCCATTTCTCACGCAGAGCTTTTTTCTACAGATATTAACATATTTTAAAAGAATCTCATTACCAGTTTCCTTCGACTGCCACACATCTGGCACTAATTCCCATATCAAGCATGCATTGGCTCCACCTTGATGAACAACCAAATTGTTTTACCACAGGCCAGATATGCATCTGCAAGGCTGAAGAAGCGGTGGTCACTCAGTGGTGACATTCAGAAGTTTCATTCAGCTTAATGAGCCTTTTGGCTATGCATACAACCCCTTTGGGGACGTGGGTGGTGCTGTGGGTTAAATCACAGAGCCTAGGACTTGCTGATCAGAAGGTCGGCGGTTCAAATCCCTGCGACAGGGTGAGCTCCCGTTGCTCTGTCCCAGCTCCTGCCAACCTAGCAGTTCGAAAGCACGTCAAAGTGCAAGTAGATAAATAGGTACCGCTCCAGCGGGAAGGTAAACGGCGTTTCCGTGTGCTGCTCTGGTTCGCCAGAAGTGGCTTAGTCATGCTGGCCACATGACCCGGAAGCTGTACGCCGGCTCCCTTGGCCAATAAAGCGAGATGAGCACTGCAACCCCAGAGTCGGCCACGACTGGACCTTTACCTTTACAACCCCTTTGAACAAGTGAAAAAGCCAGGAAGCCTTCCATTAATGAATAGGTTCCTGTTTCATTCATTTCCACTGGGAAACTGTAGTCAAGAGTATGGAACAAGCCAGGATATTAACCCATGGTTTGAAGGTGGCTCAGTATCCTGTTCTGAAGCCATAGTTTCCTGGTTTGGATGAAATGGGAAACTATGGTTAGAGACTTCCTGGTTTGATTGCCACCTCAAGTGAAGGAAGGTTTGAAAGGGTTATGTACATGACCCAAAGGCTCATATCTTGGCTTCATGAGCAGATCATCTGAATGATTATATTTAATCTTTAATTCTTGCTCCATGACAAACAATCTGCTTTCTGCCATCCTCTTCTTTTCTCCTCTCCTTTCCAATGTGAGGCTACTTGTACAGAAATAGTCTTAACCGTGGGCTGCTTTTGTAGGAATTTCCTTGGGTGGCCCTCAAACCAGGAATCTAGGGGAACTTGTAAAAAGGAGGTTCAAAAAGAGAGGATGTCTCTCTTATGGAGTGGCTTCTTAGATGCTGCAAGTATATTATGCCAAACAGAGGCTACTAACACAGCATGATGGGATAAGATTCTCATTTGTCTAGCGTGGTTCACATTCCACCATATTATTGGCACCGAGGCATTAGATAGCATGAATCTCTGCCATCAGGCTCCAGGCATGTCTGGAAGCAAATACTTCCTCAGGAACCAACCATTTCATAATGTGAAGTAAATGCTGCTTGAAGTTTCACATGTGCCTACAGTGCTTTAAGAGGTAAAGATCTAAAAGGTTCCCTTTTAAGGTTCTAGACAGATTCTTCTGCCCCAACACCAATTTCTTAAAAGAGTCAAGCACATTCCTTTTATGAGCTGGAACTCAGTGAGAACATTTCACTCATTAGTTAGGATAAAGGACATAACAAACGAAGAGGACCTGTAAAGTATACTGCAAGACCCTCCTGTTTGTCATTAAAATGGAGATAGCATCCCTAAGGCCTATTTCCCCCCCATCTCCTTCCAGGGATATGCCACCTGGACTTGGCCTGCCATTAGAATCACAGATAATTACTTCTGTAAATTCTGGCTTCTGTTTTCCCTTGCAGCATTGTTCTCTTTTACTAGTGATGCCAACCTGTTCCTGCCAGAGTTTCAGTCCTGGCACAGTTCTCATTTATTTTTAGCAAGCACATATAGGGTTTGCTGGGCAACCAAAGGACTCTAAGCATCTCTGAGCTGCCCTGAAGGAGTTAAGGAATGTATTCCATAGTTGCATAGCAACTGCAATTCCAGCTCTCTCCACTCTCAAACTGGGGAAAGGTAGCCATGAAAGCTGAGGTCTTAATGTAGCATTTAGCTGCCTAACAGAGCCATGGCAGTCAACCAACAACTGGTCTGATAATAATGTTCACCGTTGCCTTCTCATATCCCTGAAATTCATTGGTAAAGAGCTTTGATTGATTGATTGTTCAATTATATATTTTTTGCGATTCCAAAGTGGGTAACAACATTAAAAAGAAACTGCAGTATAACACAACTAAAACAACATACAATAAAACACAATATGAAGCAGCATCTGACAGCAATTATCAAAGCCCATTCCCATCAAAATATTGCAGCGAATGTCAAAGCCTTCCTCGACATCATAACAGCACAGTCCCATTAGTTCCCACTAGAAGTCTGAGAGAATAAAAAACCTTTTTAATTGTCATGGAAATATGGCCAAAGATGATGCCACTTCCATTTCAACCGCCCTCATTTACACATTTACACACTGGATAACCCTCCTTTACAAAACGATATACTGTACAGTCATACCCTGGTTGAACAAACGCCTTGCGACTTGAATGTTTTTGGCTCCTGAACACCGCAAACCTGGAAGTGAGTGTTCCGGTTTACGAATGTTCTTTGGAACCTGAACGTCTGATGCAGGGACGTCCTGCAGCCAATCGAAAGCCGCACCTTGGCTTCTGAACATTTTGGAAGTCAAATGGACTTCTGGAATGGATTCCGTTCAACTTCTGAGGTACCACTGTATATGCGAAAACACTCCAAGAGCAAAAGGCAAGCAATGCCCTCTCCGTTGTTCTTCTCCCGCCATATTTTTGTCCCTTTCACAGAGGTCGTGTTGGGGCTGTGAGCACTAGCAATCGATTATGAACTCCTCTTCTCCTCTTGCTCAGCGACTGAGCATTCGCAATAGCTGACCATATTCTATACCCACTCCAGGGTTTTTCTAGTTCCAGCGATGACATTCCCCTGTGGCTGCAAAGCACCCAAGGAACGTAATTTGCCATTAAAGGAGGCTGAGTTGTATCTCACACCGATTAAATGAGTGCTGCAGTCATTAAGGGTGTTATCTGAATTATTCCACAAAAGCGAGCATGTTTTCGTGTGCTTGGAGACTTCACATGGGAACCTAGCCATGAGATGTGCCCTAATGTTGGTGGGAGATTCCTTGTTTCCAGCTTTGCAATCTGTAGGCAAGTAGTTGTGCCCTTTCTTTAGTACGGAGAGCAGCGTGCTCACGAAAACCCTTGCTCCTACAGCGATTCATTACTTTCTAATTACGTCTCTCTCAAGCTTATTTAATTATATTTTCTCAAAATACTGTAATGGAATCTAAATCCCTGTATAATAATTTGCGCAATCATACTTATTAGCAATAACACTATTAAAATTCTCTGTTGGATGGGGGTAAAACAGGAAAGCACGGGAGTGACAGCAATGAGAGCCTCATTTAAGAGCGAGAATATGTTAAAATTATGTAATTCTGTCTACTACATAACACAGTCTGGGTCATTAACAGTGGAAGTGATGCAGTAAAAATTGATGAAGCAAGCTTATATGATGGGTATGTTAATTAAACAAGAAGCTGCCCAAAAAGAAGTAGTGTACCAATTTGATGGGACGTGCTTCCTCATTTTTAGAGCTCCAGGGCTCCATGCACCCCTTCTCAATGCAGATTCTCAATGGCCTAAGAAAAAGATTCATCGTTGCTCATTTGCACGTGCAACTTAAGGGCTCCCAAACAATCATTCTGCAGCTGGTGTGCCACAGCTATATTAAACCATATCCTGGACCTCTGAGTAGAGGAAGAACAGCTGACCCTTTTGTCCTTGACAGGACACAACTTCTCTGCTATAAGCACCCATGAGTAAGGGGAGGGTAGTGGCTGCTGGATGGTTGTCATAACTGAAAACACAAAGAAGTCCTTTTCAGGTGTTATGCTATCATTCTTCTATTCTAGGGATGGGCAACTTCTGGCCCTCAACAGGTCCACCAAGCATTGTCAGGGGTAATGGGAAGTGTAGTTAAGCTATGTCTGGAGAACACATGTTACCCACTCCTATCCCTTCTAATCCATACACTGAAATTTCCTGTGTGGTGAACATGTGTGGATAGGGAGCAGCAGGTTCCATCTTTTTCAATCCACCCATGTTTACTGAATGCCTGGATAGGTTCCTTGCATGTCCAGCTGAATGAGCAGAGCGCTCTGTCTTCACAGTTGAGATCCCTGCACAGTTAGGGTTCTAGATTGTCTGCAGAGATGCTTCTGGGCATACAGTTCTACGCGGGACCCTTGCTCAGGCATTCAATGTACAGTGGTACCTCGGGTTACATACGCTTCAGGTTACATACGCTTCAGGTTACAGACTCCGCTAACCCAGAAGTAGTACCTCGGGTTAAGAACTTTGCTTCAGGATGAGAACAGAAATCGTGCTCCGGCGGCGCGGCAGCAGCAGGAGGCCCCATTAGCTAAAGTGGTGCTTCAGGTTAAGAACAGTTTCAGGTTAAGAATGGACCTCCGGAACGAATTAAGTACTTAACCCGAGGTACCACTGTATATACATGATGCTGCATACACTCAATGCTCCCAGCCATGACAGCCACAGCGGCATCAACCTTTTCACTGCTGAACTGATGGAGAACCTGAAGATCACCTTTGTGACTTCTGCAGTTCTTGAACTTTCTAACTGACCTCGACAACCAAGTCCTACTACTAAGCCTCTAGTCAGGACACAATTTGTGCCGAGATTTTTGTGACACTGTTTTGACTACTGTCAACAAATGAGCACTGTGAGTTTTTTTTTTAATTGTTTCGTTCTTCATATGACAAGCAATGTCAAGCTGTCCTTGAAAAGCTCAGCTTTTCATATGAGGCTGCCCATTTGATCCATCAGTAATTGGGATTTTGTACCAAGGAACTTGGCAAGTTTGGCATCTGTAGGTGCTTCTGTAGTGCGTGGGAAGCAGGGTCAGAACATCTTTTCATGTAGGACCATTAAGTTAATTGACTAAACATTTGGCAGATACACCAAGTTACTGCCTGAGGATTTTAGAAGAATCTTTTATCTAATGCTTTGGTGAATCCCGTTGTTATGGAATCTATAGTCAATACTAAATTGAAAATGATTTGCATGTTCAGACCTTTAAGCCTCCCCCTTAAATAAATTCAGACAAGACTCAAATTTTGGTTTGGTTTTTGGCAGAATTTAGGCCACAATTTTATTGATTACAGAAAGGGAGTGGTTGCATAGGCTCTAGGCATAGGTCAGCCTAGGGTGAACACACTCGTTAGGTGGAAAGCCGGGAACAGGCTATGTCCACCACCCAGATTTCCCCCTGGACTCAGACACAGGCACAACCCCCTCACAGGGGTTGACCAAACCACTGAGTCCCTGGATTCCTTTAACGGAATACCCTTCACATAGGGATGGCGAGACCACTCCCCCATCCCTATCACCTGAACCAGTGCCTACCCGCAACCTTACAAGTTGTGACAATTTGCTACGCGGCAGGCAAAACCCAAATGGCAACAGCCAATCAGCCAAGTGAGGAAATTCCTACTGTGCCCCTGTCCCAACGACAGACGACACATGACGGCATAGCAAGGTCAAGCGCAACAAACCCTAAAAGTAGGGAGAGGTGGGTGGGTGTTCCGATGCATGCACCAAAAGAGGAAGCTCTGGGTCACGTGCATAGGTATATATAGGTCCCTTTATCCGTTTAGCCTGCATCCCATTGGCTTGATTAAACCCAGCATCAAGGGACCTACCAATTGGGTGTTGTGGCTATCCAACCATACCCACCCACAACACAGGGTTTGGTTGCCAGGTCTCACCGCAACACGTGCCCTCTTTAAGGGAGGACTTGATTTGTCTGAAAAATGTGCAGCTGTACTTCTACTTAATAGTTATTTCTGGCCATCACTAAACAACTCAAGTCTTTTAAGAAATGCCCAGTGCTGCTATTTATTAATTAAAATTATATATTGCCTTTCCTCTTAAAGGAGCCTAGGTTGACAATTATTAACTAATGCACTCTGTTTCCTAGCTAGTAAAACTCAAAATTCACCTGCGCACCTAAGTAAAGATGACATTCATACTGCAAAAATTAAAGAAATGTTTAGATTTCTGAAGGAAATAATGTATGTAACTGGACCTGTATTGATTAGACAGGACACTTGTGTCAGACTGGTTCACACATACATATTTGTCAAGTGATTACTTACATGTGTGAATGGGCCAATATAGATGTGGCACCACAAATCAACATACTCCAACCTGATGTCCTCCAGATATTTTGAACTACAAATCTCATCATCCCTGACCATTGGCCATACTGTCTGGGGCTGATGGGAATTGTAGTCTCTCTCTCTGTGTGTGTGTGTTTATACACCTGCTTGGGGAAAGACTGCTTTTCAATCAACTCAGGTCAAATATTGAGCTAACAGACTTCCAGTGTAGAGAAATCAAGGGATGTACACACCTGTATAAGCCAATTGTCGATACTCTTATTAATGATTTCTTACATTTTTATGCATTGGATTTCCAAAAAAGAAAAGAAGAAAATTAGTTGAGTCTCCTCATGGGCAGGTTACCTTCAAGTGCTGATGTTTTAGTTTTTCTTCCTCGACTTTAAGGCGTTTCTGAGTGATTTCTTCTTGAAGTTTCCTTTTGTCCTGCGAATTACAAAAATGGTAGAAAACCAAAGAGAATAAAATGTACAGTATATCTTGGAATATGAAAACTTTGTGTAGTAAGAAATGAGATCTTAGATTTTAGAAGCTATTTGAAGTGCTTTAGAAGGGGATGTGGGAGTTGTCTGCATTCTTCTGCTTTCATTTAACAAAGAGAAAAAAGGAAAAGGAAAGGAAGTCACTGGGTATATCTACACTACAAACATAACAGTTTTTTTTTATACCATTTCAATGGTTGTGGATTCCCTCAAGAACCCTGGAGATGGCAGTTTAGTGAGAATTTAGTGAATGCCACCTCACAGAACTGCAACTTCCTGGTTTCCCTAGGAAGAGGAAAGGATTGCTAAAATAGTTTTAAATCCATCTCTATCTTCTGAGAACAAATCTCAGGGTTCTTCTTCAACATATCGTTTCCTTTTTAGTACATACCAGCTGTGTCTAGTATTAAAGGTTTAGGCATGCAAAACTATTAAACGATTGTTTCCCTTCATTTATCAGTCACCAGGGAAACAAATTCAAATTTCAGGAGGCAATTCTTTCAAGTCCCCAAATATGCCTCTGTTTTCTTTACATATTTACAAGCGAGAAACAGCAAGGGTGGTGTTAACTGAGGTAATTTCAGTTACAGAAAATTTAGCAACCAGGTTGGGCTCTGTTCCCATGATTGTCTAGAGACTTGGAATAATCTCCATTGCAGATAGGAGTTATTTCTGGCACACATCCCATAATGCAACTATAAACAGCATTTGGGATGTAAATAGTTTGCTAGCCTGTATTTACATGTATCCTTACAACGTTTATACTTTTAGCAGGGCCTCCTGCTCCTACTTCCGCATCTTGCTGAGAGAAACAGCTGAACATATCTGAGAGAAGAATGATAGCTGGTGTTGTCGTTCCATTTTTAAACTTTGTTTACTAAGGTACGCCCCCAGTTGCAATTTTGAACGGTTCAGTTAATCCAGATTTCAAGAACATCCTGCTGCCAGTCTCTGAACTTCACGCCTTCCTTTCTTTTTGAATGCCACTATATTAAGGGCCTTGAAATAATTTGGCCATGAATGGTGCAGTAGGTCATCAAAATGACTTTGTAGATTAAAAGTAAACTCCCAAAGAGAGCTCTTTTTCCTAACTCAGAGCATGCCTCCAGATATACCTTCACAGTATGCTGCAAAAGGATCTCAGATTTCCCCCCACTTTCGCTCGAGAAACGAATGGCACATTCTTGGCTCCAAATCCAGGGACAATTTAATTTTTCTCTTTGCTCACTCTCCTGACTCCAGGAAGGCTGGACTTCCCTTCTAAGGAAATTAGGGGTATCTGGTGAGGGGGTGTGGGGGAAGATCACTATGAGGGCCAACCAATCAGAACAGTGCACAGCCCCCCCTTTTTTTGGCAAATGGGATTCTCTTGAGCTCAGCACTTAAACTAAGGTGGTACGTCTGACCAAAACAAGGTGAGCTCAATTCCAGAATTAGTTTACTGCACACATAACATAAATTTGGTCCCTCCCAAAGTGAAAAGTAATGGATTAATTGTGGAGTTTTATACGGTGGTACCTCGGGTTACATACGCTTCAGGTTAAATATGCTTCAGGATACACCGCTAACCCAGAAATAGTGCTTCAGGTTAAGAACTTTGCTTCAGGATGAGAACAGAAATTGTGCTCTGGCGGCGCGGCAGCAGCAGGAGGCCCCATTAGCTAAAATGGTGCTTCAGGTTAAGAACAGTTTCAGGTTAAGAACGGACCTCCGGAACGAATTAAGTACTTAACCCGAGGTACCACTGTATTGGAATATATAGCAACATATCACCACTCATTATTAAGTATATCCGGACATGCCCTAAGTGATAATGAATTTATAGTGGAGTTTTACACTGGAGTACAATATAGAGAGAGCAGAAGGTGTTCCATCAGGTTTTGTGGGATTTCCGTAAGGCAATGCTACCACTACTTTGTATCTGAGGGACTGTTAACCTTTTTGGGCAAGTGGGCTCATTTTCAAAATGGTGAAGCTGTTGTGGGCACCAGACACGTACCACAAATGAGCACATAATTCAGTCTAATCTACTGGCTACAACAGAATGCTTATTTCAAGCTGAATTTGAGTGAGGAGAGACGCGGTTGAAGGGACTCAGTGGGCGCCAGAGAAGGACATGTGTGCCTACAGGCCCATTGGTGACTCCTGCCATAGAAGTTCACGGCAGTGTGTTGGAGGTGATATTCTTGTTTTTGATTATTCTGGATAAATAATTTTAGTAATTATTTTTTTTTGCATACTTAGGGATATTGTATCATATAATTTTATATTTTCTTCTAAATAGCTTTGGGACTCCTTTCAGTTGTGTGAAGGGATAAATAATTGAAATAAACTAAACTAACCTCCCCATTGCCCTGCCCATATATATGTGTTAGGAGCTTGTTCTACACACGAGTAGGACCCTGGCAGAGACACATGCCCAACTGGCATGTTCCCTCCCTCCTGGTCGATTGTTCGGGAGCTTCAAAAGCTTTCTTCTGCCCGAACATCACAGCGACTGATGCCAACCGACACCGGCACACTTAGGGATCCGCAGAGTCTTCACAGCTTGTGTAACAGACCTCAGCAACTCAGCATTTTGGCTAATCTACTTTATTTACATATAAACACACACGGAGCACTGCAACATGGCTCCCTTTCTCTCTAGCATCAGAAGAAAATATGTCCTACTGAAACAAGTGGAACTTCCTTCTAATATATTTGCTGCTGCTGCTGCTGCTGCTGCTGCTGTTGTTTAAATCAAAAGTCCACATCTCACTACAGTCATTGAAATGACTTGTGTGTGATCTTATGTGGATATGGCTTGTAGTCACAGAAAATTCCAGAAGCATAGTGGGGGTTGTTGTTGTTGTTGTTGTTTGCCTTTCTTACTAGGAATCTTTCACGAAACAGAAAAATTATATGTAAAAGGCCTTTGACAGTGCAGTGAGAGGAAAGGAATTGAGCTTCTTCCAGCAACGAAAGAATTATTATTCAGCTATTAAGTTCCACTAATGCATTAGCCTTTATTCCATCCCCTTTCAATATATGTCAGTTGACACACTTTTAAAGCTTAAAAGCTGTTGCATTTCTCAGCCGATTTTTTTTAATTAAAAAAACTTCATTCATTTCCAGCAAAAAATCTATGTGTTTAATCGAAACACTTTCTATATTAACTTTATTTATTATCACTAAAGGGCCATATAAGCACAAATCTTTCAAAAGCAGCAAGCTAAATAAGGGGACTAGAACATAGCCAATGTTGAGACTAATAGCTTAGAAAATGTAGTAATGTAAGGACTAGCCAGAATCAACAAGCCAACTTCTCATCTCCAGTGGATTGTGGATGAAGAAGGTCAAGCTTGGTCAAGCTTCTTGTAGTGAGGTTCCTCAGTTACTTCTAGGGTGCCTGAAAAAGCTCCCCCTCTTTCTCCCACCAGCTTACCTCCCCTAAAAAAACCCCCATACCTTTTTAAGACCCTCTCTCTTTCTTCAAACCCCTTCTTAACTCACCCAGCTTTCCCATGAAGCTTTTGGCACAACCTCAAGTGCCCGCATCCTATTGTAACCAAGTCTAAATACATGTAATGGAAACAAACATGCATTCTCCCTCGGTATACCCCTGCCCCCTTTTCCTAAACTTTCCCCTATTGTCTCCTCCATATTGAATTTTGGACTGCAAGCTGTCTAAGGCAGGGACCTGTCCTCTTGTATCGTATCAAGCAGCTATGTGTATTGATGGCACTGTATCAACAGCGCTTGACCAAGTGAGTTGTCTAGTTCTAGTTACAGGTAGGTAGCTGTGTTGGTCTGCCATAGTCAAAACAAAACAAAATTTTAAAAAATTCCTTCCAGTAGCACCTTAGAGACCAACTAAGTTTGTTATTGGTAGGAGCTTTTGTGTGTATGCAAGAAGAAGAAGTGTGCATGCACACAAAAGCTCATACCAATAACAAACTTAGTTGGTGTCTAAGGTCCTACTGGAAGGATATGTTTTTTATTTTGAGTTGTCTAGTGTTGTACTACTGCTATAGGCTCAAAGCAGGAAGCAACATTTATCCTTTACATTCCTATGGATGCGGGAATGTTTCTTGTGAACAACCTTGCAAACAAGCCCATAAAAGTTACTAGCCTGCAAATATTTGTGCACCGTGAATTAAGTCACTTGTGGTCTGAAAAGGGGAATGGGGAATGCTTGACTCTCTTCCATCTTAAAAAAAGAGGAAGAAAATATTTCTGCAGCAGATCTCTTTATTCATGGGCTACAAAGTGAGTAGCCCGCATCAAGTGCTTTTTCGCAGCTGGGTTGGGAAGCAATGGATGCATGACATTAGCCACTATCCTTTATCTATCCTGACATTTCCTATGAAATACTGTGTTTTGATGCATTTTTGCCCCAAGCCAGCTTTGATCTGAATTGAGAAAAAGAACGACCAAGTTGTGTTGTAAGCTGGTAATGGGTACATTGCATTTGCAAGCCTGACTATGGAGTCGTTTGATAGTGATGCCAGTTCACCAGCGAGAAGTCTTGCTATTCATGGAGAAACAAAATAAGAGTTTGAACCAAGGGTTGTGAAATAAATAGCTCCTGAAAGTTAAAGAACAGCTGGATTTACTTATTCCGTTCTTTAACCATCAGCTCTTTAGTTGTGTAAGGAAGGGAAGCACTGGGAGCAATGGGAACATGCATGAAACAAAAATGCCAGAAAGAGCTTTCTCATTCTTCCAAAGCATGTTGCGTCTAGCTTTAGTAGAGCTCCGAAGGAACATGATCATTATTGTGCTATGATGCCACCCACAGCCAATCATAGCTCTGCCCTTAAAGAATAGCCAGTGAACTAATCTACCGGCCCAAACCTGTCATGAGATGAGAGCATGAGGGTTAGATCAGATCAATAGGGAGCTAGACATCAATGCTATTAGTTGTCGTTCTTCCTCTTAAGAAAAGCACAGTTCTGAGACAACTTTCTGCAAGCGCTGAGTTCTTTATGAATAAGATATCTCCACCATAGTGTGAACTGAATTGAATTTCCATATCATACTCCTTTAAAACACACACACACACACACACACACACACACAATGTTGGTGTTCCCATGAACTACCAACAAATACTCATTTAATTAAGCAGAAGATTAATTGCCCAAGGTACTTCTTTTCTTTTTAAACGATGGAATTTCCTTGTTCCAGTTCATTCTTAGCTTTCTGACCTGGTGTCCTTCAAATTAATGCACAGAGGCACACTCACTGAGCCACTTGGTCTTAATGACAGCATCACATATGCCTGATATAAAACATTGCCTGACTCCTACATCTCTGGCATTCAGCGCCTGGAAGCTAATGGTCAATTTTATGTGCCTGCCATAAATGCAAGTCATACGCAGAATTCTGCTGACTGCCCAAAGTTTGTAGTCTACAAAACGGAACAAAATAAGGACAGAAACGAAGGGTTTCATACAGAACAGGGAGACATTCCAACCACCTTAGTAACCTCTAAGCAGCTTTGATAATGATTTTCTAAAATATATATTACAAGACAGACACACGCACACAAGCACACACAAGGATTGATATAGAGAAGAAGTACTTACGGTTATGGCCTGAAATCTTTCCTTCAGCAGTTCAGCTTCTTCCATTCTAGAAATCAAACAAACACACAGGTTTTGAAATCTACAAAGAAACACTACATAGGCACAGAGGTTTCCCGTATGGAAGAGGAGGAGGACGGCGACGAGGCAGATGCTTCTGAAGGGTTATGATCTAATTCCCACAGAGGAGGGAGAATTCCCGACTTATGTGGTGTGTCTCCGAACAGATGAGCAAGTCGGCTCAGACAGACACATGTAATGAGGGTGTGCTAGGGAGGCAGACATCCAGAATACTGGCATGAGTTGACTGACAAGTTTGAACGGCAGAACACAAGCCCTTTTCCTTCTGCAGCTGCCAATTCTTTGTCGTAATCATATGCACACTTGGCATGCCATAGATTAACCGTTAACTGCCCAACCCCCCCCCCAGCAAATCATATTTGCTGGAGTTCTTTAATGCGCAATGGTAGTAGTTATTTTTAAAGAGGTGAAATATAAATCCCTGACATCTTTAAGCCATACCCCTCATTTAATGATCATTGAGATGCCGTCATCGGAATAATTAGCAGTTTTGTAGTATTTAAAGCTTTTCCTTTGTAACCTGTGCAGCTGCTCCTGTAAAGGAAAGACTTTATAACTTGTACCCATAATACAGATGAGGGCTCGAGGCTACGAAGAATTAGCTGGCCTGAGGTCACCTAGATCACAACCTAAATCGTAACAGAGCTCTCTCTTGCTGGCTTCAAACTTTTCCTCAAAGTCCTTAGCTGCTATACTAAACCAGATGTTAGCTTAATTAACCACAAACCCTGAAATTTCAAATACTCAGTTGTGAGGGGGCATGTGTTGCAAAATGTGTTTTCTTTGCTATGAAACCCTGCAAAAATTTGTCAGCCGTTTGGAGGGGATCCCAAAATTGGGGCTCCATAGTTAACGAAGCTCCAAATGCTGCCATCCCATAGTATTGTCTCTGTGTGTGGTAATTTAAAATCATGGAACTCAAATGTAGGCTTTAAAAACATTTTATAATCTAGTGATAGAATTATACAGTGGTACCTCAGGTTACAGACTCCGATAATCCAGAAATAGTATCTCAGGTTAAGAACTTTGCTTCAGGATAAGAACAGAAATCGTGCTCCGGCGGCGCAGCAGCAGTGGGAGGCCCCATTACCTAAAGTGGTACCTCAGGTTAAGAACAGTTTCAGTGTGGTGTAGTGGTTAAGAGCGGTAGTCTCCTAATCTGGGGAACCAGGTTCGTGTCTCCGCTCCTCCACTTGCAGCTGCTGGGTGACCTTGGGCCAGTCACACTTCCTTGAAGTCTCTCAGCCCCACTCACCTCACAGAGTGTTTGTTGTGGGGAGGAAGGGAAAGGAGAATGTTAGCCGCTTTGAGACTCCTTAAAGGGAGTGAAAGGCGGGATATCAAATCCAAACTCTTCTTCTTCTTCTTCTTAAGAACGGACCTCCAGAATGAATTAAGTTCTTAATCCGAGGTAGCACTATATAGCAAGTTCTTATGGCATTGTAGAGTTGTGTACAATGTATGTACCAGCTGTGTGTAGGTGGGGCACTAATGTCAGTGGCTACCATTTGGCAGTACAGTGCTAACAGAACCACCCCCTACCTTGGTTGCCACCCTGTCTCCGTGTGGTGAGGAATTTGGGGTTGGGGTAAGCGAGAAGAGAAGCAGACAAGTACTGCCACAGTCATGCCTTGGCCTCTGCAGAGGCAGCATTAAAGGATAAGGACCCCTGGATGGTTAAGTCCAGTCAAAGGCAACTATGGGCTGCGGTGCTCATCCTGCTTTCAGGCCGAGGGAGCCGGTGCATTGCAGGGGGTTGGGCTATAGATGACCCTCAGAAGTTCCTTCCAACTCTATGGATTTATGAAGTTCCATTGTGTATATGGGACCATAACCTACTCGTAGTGTTCAGGTTGTCTTTTGTAAGGCAACCTGGGAGTTTTTAGCATACACTGAAGGGCAGGATATAAATTAAAAGTGTTTAGAAAAGAAAAGAAGAAAGTGTTAATTCAGAATTATTAAGGACCTGATCTTTTCTATACATAGAAAATTAATGTCCCCACTTTCATTATAGGGGAGTCTCCATACTCTGAAAGTAAAGCTGAGCTTTTTTCAACAACTGTGAAGCTGAATGTGATTTTATACAGCTGAGAACGTTGAGCAAGTTCTTTATCTTCCAAGTTAAAAGGGCGAGCATTCTAAAAATACACACAAAACTTGCAAAACAGGTAGAATGATGAAAAATAATATCTGCTCGTTGCAAAAAGACTGACAAATCTCTTCAACGTGTAATCTGAGTTGGTTTGAAATTGTTCCGCGCCTTTGATATCATGTAACCGTAACTTCACAATCTCTTCAAATATAGATGAACATGGGAATCAGTATATGCTTTTTTTTTTGTTTTGAAAAATGTGCAGTGAAGCTGTGCCCGACCCTCCAAGTGCCCCTATTTTCTAGCGACAGCCCTGGATTTACAGAAGCTGTCCCGGTTTCTGATTTGATCCCTGAATGTCCCACTTTTCCTTAGGACATCCCTACTTTCATTAGAGAAATGTTGGAGGGTATGGAGTTATGCGACCCCCAAGCCAAGGAAATAAGTAACTATACAACCTTTAGAAGACATCTGAAGGCAGCCCTGTATAGGGAAGATTTTTAATGTTTCATGTTTTATTATGTTTTTATATATGTTCAGACCCTCCAAGTGTCCCTATTTTCCAGGGACAGATCTAGATTTACAGAAGCCATCTTGGTTTCTGATTTGATCCTGGAATGTCCCGATTTTCCTTAGGATGTCCCTATTTTCATTGGAGAAATGTTGGAGGGTATGGAGTTATCTGACCCCTGAGCCGTCTGAAGGTGATCCTGTATAGGGAAGGGTTTTTTTTTAAAAAAATGTTTAATGTTTTATTATGTTTTTATGTTGAAAGCAGTCCAGAGTGGCAAACCAGTCAGATGGGAGGGGTATAAATATAATAATAATAATAATAATAATAATAATAATAATGGAATAGGACATCCCTATTTTCATCCGAGAAATGTTGGAGGGAATGATATGTTGGAAGAAGCTCAGAGGGGCTGGGGGTATAAATAATAAAATTGTTGTTGTTGTAATGGAGTGGGATATCCCTATTTTTATCGGAGAAATGTTGAAGGGAAAGCAGTGTCACTTGTCCATAGCACATAGATTCTGTGCCTTTATTATCTGAATTACAGATGACTTTTAGAAGACATCTGAAGGCAGCCCTGTTTATTGAAGTTTTTAATGTTTGAAGTTTTATTCTGTTTTTAGTCCTCTGTTGGAAGCTGCTCAGAGTGGCTGGAGAAACCCAGCCAGATGGGCAGGGTATTATTATTAATAATAAATATAATAATAATAATAATAATAATAATAATAATACAAGGAGGAGGAGGACCTTACTTGAAAAGGAAGCCTAAAGAGACTTAAAAGGTGGCGTCCAACACAAAGCAGACCCACAGAAGTCAATAAGCAATGGGTCTACCATGAATGAATGAATTGACTGATTTATTATGGTCACAGACCAGAATTACAGACATATGCAATAATAAAAGCATATAAATATAAATAATTTAAAATTAAACTCTATAAGCTGGAACACAGTAAATCATACAGATATGAGTATGACTTAGTCTACCATGAGTATGACTTAGTCTGATACCCCAAATAAATAAAATGAAGTGGAAATGATTGTTTTCCAGCAATGAGTTTTACTTTTTTTACCTAGGTCGAAGTCCTGTTGCAAAATCACGCACAAAGAATTTCCAAATAATTGGCCACACTTGTCCTCCCTGTAACCCGATGCCCAGGCTTTTGGCCTATCCATCTTTGGTCATACTGAACAGCTGGTATTTTATCTTACAAAAGAACTTTTTAAGCATTTGAAGACTCCTGCTTTATCCTCCCTCTAGGGTCTCTGGCTCTGCCAAAGTTAAGTAGCAGAATAGTTTCAGACCTAGCCAGTCTTTTTCTTTAAAAAAACAAAAAACAAAACCACCACCACCACCCACCTGTTAAAAGACACAATAACCAGAGGAATTAATATGATTTCGTATTGCCCCTGTAAAATGGGAGTGTGTGAATTGCTCACTTTTATAAGGTGTTCCAATTGCTACATGTTGCTTGCAAAATTTCTGTTTTGACTCCATAGCTGATTATATAGCAAGTGAATTGCATAGTGGTGCTAAATCATAGACTATCTGCTTGGCCCTTCGTTTGGATAATTATAAATCTTCAGTGAACAAGTCAGCATCTTTTCTTTCCCCATTTTTATGTTATTTGCCTTTCTTTTAAACCAAGCATGGCTGTAAGTATTAGCAAAGTCTTTTAAATAATCCAGACAAGGCCTAGAAAGAGAATAAATTTGATAACACTTGAGTGCAGAAACAAAGAAACAAAAACCCCTGGTGTATAATTTGAGGAGAAAGGAGCAAAGCCTTTCTTACGTTAGGCCTTGCACATAGCAGTGAGGCACTGAATCAAACATACAGAGGACAGAACTCACTTAGAACTACCCAGCCAATCAGGGCACGTTCTACCTCTGCAAACATCATACCACTCTGCCAGGTGCTAAAGAAGGGATATTTCAGTCCTCACCCACACTTAGGAGGGAGGAGAATCTGTTTTACTGTCAGGTATACACAGTGGCGTAGCGTGGGGGGTGCAGGGGGGGCCGGCCGCACCGGGCGCAACATCTGGGGTTAGGGCAAATCCACAGGTTAGGGGGCGCAAATCCACGGGTTAGGGGGCGCCTTGCCCCGGGTGCTGACAACCCACGCTGCGCCACTGGGTATACATGAGGAAACATAGACTGAGCACAAAGTTTGCTTAATAGTTTCAGTAGATCTTATGCTCAGATTAGTTTGCATAGATATCATTGCAGACTAAGAATAATGTCACTGTTTTTCAAGTGAGTCATGTTGCAAAAGTTCCTTCAATGTTTTCCTCACTTGTTGCTAGGTGGACTTTCCCCCCTTCAATCAATACTGTACCTTCTTTCCCCACCATTAAAA